GTTCGAGCAAAGGATGGCGCGCAGGGAACGCGACGATTGGGTGCGCCATCCCTTCAGAGTGAAGCAGGGCAACCTCGACGACAAGATATGGCATGGCGCCTTCGGCAGGGCGAGGCACGGAGCGCACTTCCCTCTGGTGGCTTTCACGCACAATACGTGCCGCAGGTCACCTGAAAGACTCGCCGCGAGGTTGGAACGCAGGAAGGGCGGCAGGAAGGGCGGCAAGAAGGGCGGCAAGAAGGGCAGCTACGCGGACACCGCAGTTGCGGGGAAGGGCGTCCGACCCCAGATGGGAACCGCAGTTGCGGGGAGAGACGCTGGGGCTGAGCGAGCTGGGAACACGCCACCGCCGCAAGCTGCCAACGGCGACGATGCGACCCCTTCTTGTGCCGCAGTGGCGGCTGGGTCCTGGGACGCCAGCGGCAGCGGCGCATGGGAGGCGCGCAGTCCCGCCACGAGATGGCAGGGCTGGTCCTGGTGGGACTGGAGCTCGAGCGAATGGGGCGCTGATGGCGCGCAGTGGTGGCCCTCTGATCATGCCGCAGTTGCGGACAATGCCCCTGAGGGCTCGCCTCCTCAGCGTGAAGTCGAGTGGGGCTCGAGCGGGCGACCTGCCGAGCGCCCTCCGTGGAGCTTCGAGGGGCAGCGTTGGTGATGGCCGCAGTTGCGGGCAAGTGGAGCATGATGTTGATTGCCGCAGTTGCGGACAGTGTACGCTGGAAAAATCATCATCATCATCAATCATAATCATCATCATATCATCATATCATACGTTCAAAGCAGTGCCGGGGCACTGCTTTGAACGCGTTCAAAGCAGTGCCGGGGCACTGCTTTCGATCGTCGCCTCGTCGCCGTTATAAGGGCTTTCGGATTAAGCGCCCGTGGGAGAAGCCTCTCAGCAAGTATTTTAAAAGCGCCTTTCAGCGAGGGCAGATTGGGGCGGGGCTTCCACAGTGTGCGTTGCATCCGTGTTTGTTCATATCGTTCAGTGGGACCCCCCCTCATTTCGCCGTCTTCGAGCGCCGCGTTTGCAGGGCCATGGTCAACGGGCAAAAAGGTTGGAGGATTCCAGTATGTCTGAAGGACCTCAGCCACGGTGCTAGCGGCCAAAGCGTAAGCGGTCCGATTCGATGCTGGGGGGCCTGTCGGTTCGCCGCTGGGCCGCGCGTCTCCGCGCCCTGGCGCGCCTTGCAGGAGAGCGATCAGTCGTTGGCGGAGCATGGCTGGACGCGCAACGGCCGCAGCTTTCCATCTTGCGCTCCGCAGTTCTATTTCGACGAGCGCCAGCTTGCGAGCGCTGGAAAGGTCGGGCACGCAGTTCGGGGTGGCCCGTCTCGTTCGGGCGCCAGTCGGGGAGGGCCATCCAAAATCTGCGTCGGCAGCTGGAGTGATGTTTTTCCGTGGTGTTGCCTGGGCGTCGGTTGTCTCGCGTGGTGGCCGGGATGCAGCTACTTGCCCGATGCTTCACGCCGCGCGTTCAGGCCGCGCACATGCACGTTTTGCGCGCGGGCGGTGCACGCGCTGCCGATTCCAGCGGGGGCGAGGGCAGCGCGCGACGGGGACAACGTTGCCCTGTTTGAGCGTTGTTTTGACGCCGCCGCATCTTCAAGGCGTTCGCTGGCTTCGTCGGGGCGACATCAGCTGATGCTCGTTGACATGTTCGTCGGAGTCACAGGGTCGGAAGGGGAGGCGCGGCAGGGCGCTTGGGCCATTCGCGCCTTGCACATGGATGGTTCAAAACGCGTGCCGCACGGGGTTGTTGCGCGTGGACAACGTGAATGAAGCCTCCGCGTGTTTTTCCTGGAAATTGCACGGCGTGCGCGATGATTTTTTGGTACGGAATCGATATTGGGTTCCCGTGTCGGGGCGCGGAGGGTACGTGGCATTGTCGTTGTGGCCCTCAGGGCAAGCAGAAGGGTTGCACACGATTCTCTTTCTTACTTTTCCCCCCCTTGCATCTGGCCGCCGGCACGCAGACAGCGCAAGACTGCGTTCGCTGCCTTTGCGCGCGCATCTTTGCAGAGATCGGCATTGGCGTCGCGCCTGATGTTGGGCCGGTTTTGCCGGCCACTTCCTAGCCAGGGAGTCGGCCTTAGGCCTTCCTGTCCAGCGGTGCTGGCTGCCTTCGCCAACCATTTGGCCATTTTCATGTGTGGTAGGGCCGCTTTCAGAAGCAACGGGCTTTACCTGTATGCGGTGTTGCTCCTCGATGTCCTCCTTCTGCTCCCCCTGCCCTCCGGGCGCCAATGGTACAACTTGGGGTGTTTTCTTGTCGGCCTGCATGCGCATGGTGATTCTTTGCTCCGGCTCGGTGCTTGTTTTTCTCTCCTCCTCGTAATCCTCCTCGTCGTCCTCCTCCTCCATCTCGCAGTATGCGCTGCGGATTCCCCCGCATCCACATCCAGCACCCTTGGATTCCGAGTGTTTCGTTTTCTCGCGTTTCTTCCTTTTGTTTGCGCCTGTTGCGGGAAAGCTAGTTTATACAGCCGTCGCTCGCAGGACAGCCACTATTTGTGGTTTGGCGCTTCAGTAGTTACTCATCGAGAGCACGGCGTGTGAGGTCTCTTCGTGGCTTCTTGTCTAAGTTGCCGACATTGGCATCGTGCTGCGGTGTCCGCTCCCGCTCACTAATCCAGTCAAGCGTCGTGGCTGGGTTATGTAGGACCTTGGGAAGTGCTACCCGTCCCCACCAGCAACACAGCTTGGCTCGGCTTGGAAGGCCAGTGCGTCGACCGCGCCCGGCGCTGCGAGCGTCCAGCGGCGTGGCAGTCCAGTTTCCGCAGGGGCGCGAGTACCATCAGTCGCGCTTCGCGATTCGCGGTCCTGGCCATAGAGCTTCAGGAGGGGAGAAATCACACATACACAATTCGTCGTCAGGAGAATTTGGGAAAATATGGGGGGGGGGGGAGGGAAGGCGGAAACGTAGAGTATATGGACGCATATGGGGCATCCTTGGATTTGTGTCTATTTTTTTTGTGTGTCCCTGGGCTCCCACTGTTGGAGCTCCCCCCCTCCGCGAGGGCTGCGCAGCGCCTGGCGTGGACCTGCCTGGGCCGTGGCCGGCCCTCCGCGCAGCCGAGCTGGCGAGGCCTCGAGGCTGCGAGCTGCCCTCCGGAGGCCTCCGGAGGGCTCCCCGAGCAGGCCCGCCGCGGGGAGGCCCCGAGGCGCTATTTTGGGTCGCCAGGGGCGCTCGCCGACATTATTTAGGGTCGCCAGGGGCGCTCGCCGACGCTATTTCGGGTCGCCAGGGCGCTCGCCTACGCTATTTAAAGTCGCCACCGCGGGGTCCCCAGGAGGCGTCCTCTCAGGCCCGGCGCCCTCGGCCCCTCGAGCCCCCGCTTCTCTGTCGCAGCTGGACAGACCTCGTACCCTGACGCGTCGATTGAGGAATCGGCCGTTTTCGGTTCGCGAGAGGGCGTCGCGGCCGTCATTTTTGCGGGTCCAGGTCCGTCGGTTTCGGTCCCAGGCCGTTTTCATTAAGGGGAGGTTTACTAAAGGGAGGTTTGTCTACCGCCGACTCTGGGTCTCCAGCAGTTGGGTGCCCATGCCAAGAGGCACCCTGCTTTTGCCTCGAGGGTGCCCTGGGTGTTTTTTGTGGGTTTCGATGCTTTCGCGACGGAAAGCGTGACGTTGCCATACCAAAAATCGATGGACGTCCTGGGGTCTCAGGGTTGGGTTTCTTGTGGAAGGTTTCTTGTGGACTGGCCTCCACTGTAGATTGGGTCCGAGTAGATGGGGTCGGAGGATCGCGCCGCATCGGCGATGCGGCGGCGATGCGGCTCGACGTGGGGCCCAATTGTCTCCACGCTGGCGTCGTCGATGCATGGACGATGCGTCGCCGAGGTATCGCCGATGCGTCGGCGATGTATCGCCGATGTATCGGCGATGCGGTGCGACCTCCGACCTCATCTAGTCCGACCCCCTCTACTAGATGGGGCCGGAGTAGATGAGGCTAGAGGCCTCCTAGTAGGAGGCCTCCTGTTTTGATTGTAGGTCTAGTAGGAGGCCTCCTGTTGGTAGACCTACCAGAGGCCTCCTAGTAGGAGGCCTCTAGTTTTGATTTCCCCAGTGCCCTGAGATCCCGGCTTGGCAGTTCTGTTCGCACCGAGCGTGTTCGCCGCCCAGTGTCGGGCTCCAAGGGGCCCTCACTCATCGATCCCACTCGAAACATGCAGCATACTTATATATATATATATATGTATATATATCATATATATCATATATATATATATATATGTCGCACCGTTGGATTCAGGGTGCTTCGATTTTCTGTCGGGCATAGCCCAGACGGGGGCGAATTGAGGGAAGGCCGCCAGAGGTCCAGGACCCGAGCTACGGGAACCCGTTTGAGGTATAGCTAGGATCCGGGTCAGGACCCCGAACATTTAACATAAGGTCGAAAGACGGAGCGCGCGCGCGAGGGCGTCCCAGTCGTCAGGGTCAAAGCAGGGGGGGGACGGAAAGGAGGAGGATGAGGAGGATGAGGAGGACCCCGCAGAGCGCAGCAGCCGTGGTGCTCATGTCTACCCAATTCAAACGAAAAGAGGAGGCTGAGGAACAGTCTCGTCGCCCATGTTGGCCCAACGAACAAAAATAAGGACGAGGACAAAGAGCAGGAGGAGGAGGAGGAGGAGGAGTTGGAGTAGGAGGACCCCCTTCGGAGCGACCGCACACTGGGGGGGCGGGGCAGCGTTCGACGAACACCAGTGCCACCAGCTTCCGGCTTCCAGCAGGAGGAGGAGGAGGAGGAGGAGGAGGAGGAGTAGGAGGAGGAGGAAGGGTTGGTTGAGGACGAGGAGCAAAAGGAGCAGCAGTCGGAGGAGGAGGAGGAGGAGGAGGAGGAGGAGGAGGAGGAGGAGGGCGCGCGCGATCGGTCCGATCACCGGGTGCCCCCGTCCCGCCGCGCAGCCATCGCGCGGGCCTCCGCGGCGGGGCGCCAAAGCGGCCCCCCGCGGCCCCGCCCGCCGCGGGACGGCCCGCCCTGCGGAGCCCCGGGCGCCATGGGGCCGCAGGGCGCGGGCGGCGGCGAGGAGGGCTCGGGCGAGGCGCCCCAGAGGGAAAGTCACCAGCCTCGAACTTATCCCTATCCCTAAGATGGGCGAGCAAAAAGCGAGGACAATCTTAGGGATTGGCCCTCAGAAACTGAGGGAATCCTTAAGGTCGACATCGAGGTGAGGTGATGTCAAACATAGGGATAGGGATATGTTTCAAACTGGTAAGACAGGTTTCTCACCTCTCGGGGCTCCAGAGACGGGGGTCAATGCAAACGGGGGTCAGCCAGGGCGCCGGATCCTGTAGGGTCCTGCGAAGACCCCTTTTGGCTGACCCGGGTTGACGAGCCGCTCGTTGTCGCGAGGCGGCCGCGCATAGTGGTTGACCCGGGTTTGCGAAGACCTGCGTTGCAGTGATTTTTTTTTCTTGCATTGCAGTTTTTGGTTTTCTGCTGACCCGGGTCTGGATCGAGCCGGGTCAGAAGATCCCCGAACTGCAAAGTGCCTACTCGCAGACGTCCGAAAAACACATGAGCGTCGCAAACAACGGGGTCGTCTGCGCCGACATGGGGCGCGGGAGCAGCCCGCGTCAGGTCGCGCGTGAACGCCCCCGTCTCCAGAACAGCGCGTCGCGTTTTCGGCCCGCGTAAGCCGCCCTTTAAGGGCGCTACGTCACCTTGCGTAATATCCTATTTTTACCAGCCTGGAACATATCCCTATCCCTATGCTGGGCACCTCCTCATCACGATGCCAATCATAGGGATTCCCTCATTTTTTGGGGGCGCATCCCTAAGACTGTCATCGCCTTTTGGCGTGTCAATCTTAGGGATAGGGATACGTTCGAGGCTGGTGATATTTGATCGTCGCACACGTGTCTGCTTCGATGCCATGTATCGTAAATCCCCCGAAGGCAGATCCAGGTCCTCTGCGAGCAGTTGCCTCTTGCGGGTCGTGGAGCGCGCTCGTGCGGCGACCCGGCGCCGCTGCGCGTCCTGGAGGGGGCTCTCCCGTCGCCACGGCCGTACGGGGCAGCTTCGAATGCATGCTCCGCGTGCGGATCATGTATTAAACATGCATGGATTCAGTTAAAAAACAACAACGATGAGTGCGTGCATAAATCTATTCATGCATTAGTCATGCATTGCAAATCTTTTTTTGTTTTTTATATATAAAGCCTGTGTATTAAAAACTGCCCTGCGGGCTCCCTGAGAGAGGCCCAGCGGAGGACAAGAGAGAGCAGGGCGCGAGCGGAGAGGCGTTTTTGGGGGGCTCCGTGGGCCGTTGTCGTTGCGACTTTTGCGGCGCCGTCGGGGCGAAGGCAGAACGAGGGAGCACTGCATGTTTTGGGCTCGGTCTCCTATCTTTTCATAGTCGTAGATGTTTTCCTGCTCCCCCACAGCAGACCGTGTGGGGATGCCCACACGTTGTGCAGAGGACCGCGCTGGTACTTCTGAGCTGGGCGTCTTAGCGCGAGCCCGTCTCGCTCTAGTCCAAATTACTTGAGCTTGGGAGCGCGACAAAAAAACAACGGTTAACACTCCCAGATCTCAGGCCCCCTCCTCTTATTTTCATGCGTCCCCGGGCCCCCCTCCGTAAGTGTGGTATCTTGGTGGAGGTGGCCTGTGTGTAAGGGTGAGGTTTAAGACTATCATTATCATCACCATCAACATCACATCATCATCATCATCATCATCATCATCATCATCATCATCATCAGCATCAGCATCAGCATCAGCATCAGCATCAGCATCAGCATCGCCATCCATCATCATCATCATCAGCATCATCATCATCTCGTCTTCATGTTTCTCCTCATCTCCCCTCTCCTCCGCGCAATCCAAACAATACGACACCTGTATAACCAACAGCAATTAGAACTCCATACAATCAAAACCAATAAGAAATCCACACACCAACAATCAGATATCCATGCAATCACACACAATAACAATCCCATGCTATCGGTAGCAATCATAACTCCATACAATCAGAAACAATGAGAAGTTCATGCAATCAACACCAAACAGAAATCCGTACAAACAAAAGCAGTAAGACAACGTCTTCGGTCCACGAACCCTGTGAGGGCTTCAACAAAACACTAATAAAACCTGTGAGGGTTCCAAAACAACATAACATTGATTGTTTTCGGGACTTCAGACTTGCTCGGGGCCCCTCCAGGACAGATCCGCTCAGGCAGCCTCAAGTTCCGAACACCATTGATTGTTGGTTGTTTGGGAACCCTCACAGGCACAGGGCTCGTATCTCTAAGGCAAGGAAATAGAATCCAATAGAAAATGACTTAAACCTGTGAGAGTTCAGCAAAACAAAAAGACTTTCGCGCGAAGGCCCACTCTTCCTTCACCTTCCCCCTTTTCCAACAACTGCACGTCCTGCTCCTCTTCTTCTTCCTCCTCCTCCTCTCTCTCTCTCTCTTTCTCTCTCTGTATCTCTTTGATTGTATTTGTTTCGTAGTGTTTTTGATTGTATGTATTTCTTCTTGTATTGGTTGCGCAGGTGAGATGATGCTGCTGATGATGATGCTGATTCTGATGATGATTATTGATGATTATTGATGATGATGATGATGATGATGATGATGATGATGATGATGATGATGATGATGATGATGACGATGATGACGATGATGACGATGATGATGATGATGATGATGAGGAGGAGGATGATGATGATGCTGATGTTGATGTAGATGATGATGCGCATGAGGAGGAGGATGAGGAGGGGAGGACGAGTAGGAGAAGGAGGAGGAGTGGTCCTTCTCGCGATAATCTTTTGTTTCTCGGGAACCCTTACAGGTTTTGTTTATTTTGTTTTGGATGGTATTGGTTTTTCAATGGCAGTCACTGGTTCCCCTGGCCTTGGAACTACAAGCCCTGTGAGGGTTCTCAAAAAGAGCAAGCCAACAAAAAACAATACAACATGTGCGGGATCCAACAACAACACAATCAATTGTTTTCTGGACTTTAGGCTGCCTGGGAGGATCTGGCCTGGAGGGCTCCGGAGGAAGTTCGAAGTCTCGAAAACCATTGTTTTTTTTTTTGGAGCCCTCACAGGTATTTTGGTTTGTGTCTGTTTTTTGTTGAAGACCTCACAGGCTTCGTGGACCCAAGACGTTGTCTGATCGTGTTCGATTATATGGTTGTCTTAGTGTTTTTGATTGTATGGACTTCTTATTGTTTCTGGTTGTATGGATTTCTGATTGTTTTTGATTGCATGGGTTTCTTATTGTTTTTGATCGCATGGATGTCTGATTGTGTTTGGTTGTATGGATTTCTTATTGTTTTTGATTGTATGTATTGTTACCTAACAGCGAAGACTGATAGGTTTCTAGTTGACTCAAAAGAGCTCACAGATCACTCCACAGGGGGGTCCGGGCAGGTGTTGGGGAGTTGCCGGGCGGCAGGGTGCCGGGCTCGTTTTTCACCAACAGTCACACACTTCGTGCTCTTCGACTTCCCAGAACTCCATTCCCAGGCCACATTCTGAATACCCGGATGCAACAGTCACACACTTCGTGTTCTTCGAGATCCCAGAACGCCATTCCCGGGCCACATTCTGGAGGGCCGGATGCAACAGTCACACACTTCGTGCTCTTCGAGTTCCCAGAACTCCATTCCCGGGCCACATTCTGGAGGGCCGGATGCAACAGTCACACACTTCGTGCTCTTCGAGTTCCCAGAATTCCATTCCCGGGCCACATTTTGGATGCCCGGAGCCAACTGTAGGCCACTTCCTGGTCTTCGAGTTCCCAGAACTCTATTCCCGGGCCACATTTGAATGCCCGGAGCCAACTGTAGGCCACTTCGTGCTCTTCGAGTTCCCAGAACTCCATTCCCGGGCCACATTTTGAATGCCCGAGCCAACTGTAGGCAACTTCGTGCTCTTTACGACTTCCCGAACTCCCATTCCTGGGCCACATTTTCAGCAGGGGCAATAGCACGCGACGAGGGAGGACGAGCCAAGACCAGGAGTACCGAGGACGAGCAGGAGCAGGACGAGGAGCAGGAGGAGCAGGAGAAGAAGGACGAGCAGGAGGAGTAGGAAGGAGGACGAGCAGGAGGATGAGACGACCAGGAGAGGAGGACGAACAGGAAGAGGACAGGACCCTACCAGGACAAGGAGTACCAAGAAGGAGGATCTAGGTTCAGGAGGAGGAGGAGGAGGAGGAGGAGGAGGAGGAGGAGGAGGAAGAGGAGGAGGAGGAGGAGGACGAGGACGAGGAGGAGGAGGAGGAGGGGGGGGAGAGTACCAGGAGGAGGAGAACGAGGACCACCAGGAGGAGGAGCAGGAGGAGGAGGAGCAGGAGGAGGATGCGGGAGGAGGAAATGAGAGAAACTACCAGGTAGGAGGCGAATGAACAAGACGAGGAGGACGAGAAACGAGGACGGTCCAGGAAGAGGAGGAGGAGGAGGAGGGAGGGAGAGGAGGGGAGGGGAGGACTAATACCAGGAGAGGAAGGAGGAGGAGGAGGAGGAGGAAGAGGAGGAGAGGACGAGGAGGGAGTGAGGAGGAGGAGGAGGAGATGGAGGAAACGAGGCGGAGGAGGGTGGGGATAGCAACCCAGAGGAGGACACGGAGGACTCACCATGAGGAGGAAAGGAGAGGAAGCAATTAGGGAGGACGAGGAGGAGGAGGAGGAGGAGGAGGAGGAGGAGGAGAGAGCACCAGGAGGAGGAGGACGAGCAAGACGAGGAGGACGAGAACGAGGACGAGCAGGAGGAAGAGGAGGAGGAGGAGGAGGAGGAGGAGGAGGAGAAGGAGGAGCAGGAGAAAGAGGAGGAGGAGGAGGAGGCAGGCTGAGGCTGAGGCTGTGACTGCGACTGCCGTTGCCGCTGCGACTGTCATCGCGAATGCGACTACGACTGCGAGAACAGCAGAATTCGACAACTGGATTTTCATCTGAATCTTAAGGGGAATGCTTTCAGATATGCTTCTACACATCGCTGTTAGGTTGCTTTGCCGGGATAATTTTGTTGTTTTGACTGTGTGGTTTCCTGATTGTTCTGATGGCGTGGTGATGCTGGGGAGGGGTGATGATGACGACAACTAGAAGGGGGATGGAAGGGGGTGAGGAGGTTGATGGTGATGTTGACGATGAGGCCTGGAGGAAGGGAGAGAGAGAGAAGGGGAGAGAAAGAACGCACAAAGCACACACAGGCCACCCACACGCAGATACCTCCCCCCGCCCCCCCACCGCCGGCCTGCACACTCTTGGCATCGCTCGGACGTGTGCATTTTACCTAACAGCGAAGACTGATAGGTTTCTAGTGGTCTCAAAAGAGCTCACAGATCACTCCACAGGGGGGTCCGGGCAGGTGTTGGGGAGTTGCCGGGCGGCAGGGTGCCGGGCTCGTTTTTCACCAACAGTCACACACTTCGTGCTCTTCGACTTCCCAGAACTCCATTCCCAGGCCACATTCTGAATACCCGGATGCAACAGTCATACACTTCGTGTTCTTCGAGATCCCAGAACGCCATTCCCGGGCCACATTTAGAATAACCAGATGCAACAGTCACACACTTCGTGCTCTTCGACATCCCAGAACGCCATTCCCGGGCCACATTTTAATAACCGGATGCAACAGTCACACACTTCGTGCTCTTCGAGTTCCCAGAATTCCATTCCCGGGCCACATTTTGGATGCCCGGAGCCAACTGTAGGCCACTTCGTGCTCTTCGAGTTCCCAGAACTCCATTCCCGGGCCACATTTTGAATGCCCGGAGCCAACTGTAGGCCACTTCGTGCTCTTCGAGTTCCCAGAACTCCATTCCCGGGCCACATTTTGAATGCCCGTAGCCAACTGTAGGCAACTTCGTGCTCTTCGACTTCCCAGAACTCCCATTCCTGGGCCACATTTTCAGCAGGGGCAAGAGCACGACGAGGAGGAGGACGAGCAAGACCAGGAGGACGAGGACGAGCAGGAGCAGGACGAGGAGCAGGAGGAGCAGGAGAAGAAGGACGAGCAGGAGGAGGAGGAGGACGAGCAGGAGGAGGAGGACGACCAGGAGGAGGAGGACGACCAGGAAAGAGGAGGAGGAGGAGGAGGGGAGGGGGAGGAGTACCAGGAGGAGGAGGAGGAGGAGGAGGAGGAGGAGGAGGAGGAAGAGGAGGAGGAGGAGGAGGAGGACGAGGACGAGGAGGAGGAGGAGGAGGGGGGGGGAGAGTACCAGGAGGAGGAGAACGAGGACCACCAGGAGGAGGGAGGAGGAGGAGGAGGAGGAGGAGGAGGAGGAGGAGAGAACACCAGGAGGAGGAGGACGAGCAAGACGAGGAGGACGAGAACGAGGACGACCAGGAAGAGGAGGAGGAGGAGGAGGAGGGGAGGGGGAGGACTACCAGGAGGAGGAGGAGGAGGAAGAGGAGGAGGAGGACGAGGAGGAGGAGGAGGAGGAGGACGAGGAGGAGGAGGGGGGGGGAGAGCACCAGGAGGAGGAGAACGAGGACCACCAGGAAGGAGGAGGAGGAGGAGGAAGGAGGAGGAGGAGAGAGCACCAGGAGGAGGAGGACGAGCAAGACGAGGAGGACGAGAACGAGGACGAGCAGGAGGAAGAGAGGAGGAGGAGGAGGAGGAGGAGGAGCAGGAGAAAGAGGAGGAGAGGAGGGCAGGCTGAGGCTGAGGCTGTGACTGCGACTGCCGTTGCCGCTGCGACTGTCATCGCGAATGCGACTACGACTGCGAGAACAGCAGAATTCGACAACTGGATTTTCATCTGAATCTTAAGGGGAATGCTTTCAGATATGCTTCTACACATCGCTGTTAGGTTGCTTTGCCGGGATAATTTTTCTCGGCGACGGCCATCGAGGAGCAAACACGCACGAAATCGACAAATACACGAGGAATGGACGTCCGAGCGATGGCGAGCGGTCCCTGGACCATGCTCTGCGCCCCTGGCTCTGGAACGCCCCCCCCTCCCCGGGACGCCCCCGCGGAGCGGCGGCACGGGGGCGCCCGCAGTGCCCTCATTGCTCCCCCCGCGAGGCGCGGGCGGCGCGGCGGCCGGCGCCGCTGGACGGGGGCGCGCCGGAGGCCCCGCGGGCGGGGCGGGTGGCGCTTCGCGGCGGTGCGCGGCGGCGGCGGCGGCGCCGACGAGCGGCGACGGTGAGGCGGGCGGCCACGACGGCGAGCGTGAGGAGGGCGAGGAGGGCGAGGGCGAGGAGGGCGAGGAGGAGGAGGGCGAGGAGGAGGAGGAGGGCGAGGAGGGCGAGGGCGAGGAGGAGGAGGGCGAGGAGGACGGCCACTGACACTACGAGGGCGACGACGACGACGAGGAGGGAGGGGAAGGGAGGAGGAGGAGGCAGGGCTCAAGGGGGAATGGGGGAAGGGAGAGGAAGAGGGGGGGAGGAGAGGGGGAAGACGTTCTTGATGCTTCGCGCCTCTCCACCCGTCCATCTAGAACCGATGTTTCCCCGCGAGCGGCCGTGAGAAGAGGGGTTGAGGAGCAGTAGTGTTCCCCCGCGAGCGGCCATGAGGAGGGAGGGTGGGGAGCACTAGTGGGAGAGAGTGAGAAGGCGGTACGCAAGTTAATCCGAAGCTGTGAACAGCTCGAGCAGCCCCGAATAGTTACCACCGTGGGGACCTCTTTGGGGGTCTCCTGGAGGCCTAGGCCCGCCGTGGGGCTCTTCTCGAGGGCCCCTGCCGGGATCCCTTTGGCAGCCAGTCTCGGAGACTTTCGGGGCCCACTTGAGGCCATCCTGGAGACCAGCGGCGAACAACAGGTTTGGGGGAACGAAGAGAGACATAAACACACAAACTCGGAGGCCCGCGCGGATTCCTCGGATCCGCGTTGGACCCTCCTGGCGCCGCCTGCGGCGCCGCCCCTGGCGCGGTCCGCGCGGCAGGGAGCGGGGTCGAGCGCCGACTCGAGAATTCCGCGCGGACCTCCGAGTTGTATGTTTATGTCAGTGTTCTTCGTCTCCCGGTACCCCCCCCTCCCCCGCACAGGTTTCCAGAGGCTTGTCAAGCTCGTCGTCGTTACCGTCGTCATTCCCTCTTCACCTCCATTCGCTCCAATATCATGTTCAGCCCTCTTTCTGAACATTCGGTGCCCGAGACGGCCCCGAGAGGACCCCATGGGAGGGCCCAATGTCAGACGCCGACAGGCTCGCCCGGCAGGAGCCTTATCCTCCGGTGTAAAGCCATGGCTCCTCCTGTACAAAGCCATATGGCTCCTCGGCCCCTGCCGCCCGAGGCGGCGCCCGAGCAGTGGTTCACGACGGCGCTCGAGCTCGCCCACAGCGACATGCGCGCGCACCTCCGCCCGCAGGACGTCCGGCAGCGGGTGAGCGAGGCCGAACCCCCCGGCGACGGCGGCGGCAACGGCGACGGCGGCGGCGACGGCGGCGGCGGCGGCGACGACGACAAAGACGACGGCGGCGCCGGCGGCGGCGGCCCCGGAGCTGGCGGCGGCGCTGGCGCTGGCGCTGGCGACGCTGGCGGCGACGGCAGAGGCGCCGGGGGCGGCGACGACGGAGAAGGCAGCGACAGCGACAGCGACGACGCCGACGACTGCGACGACGACAGCGACGTCAGCGTTCGTCGTCGCCAGCATCGTTCCTGAGGTCATTTGGCGTGCCCAGAGGTTTCCCGTCGCCACGGCCGGAAGCGCCTCGACGCGGTCGCCGCGATTGTCCACAGGACCCGTTTTTTGGGGTCGATTTGAAGTGGATGGTTGGTCGGACGATGATGACGACGGTTGCGAGGACGACGTTGATGCAGGCTTTCTTGTCAAAAGTGATCCCTTCTGCCGAGGGAGGTGCATTCTGACCTCGCCATCCCCTGGCTCCCATCCGACGAGCTCGCCTACGCTTGAATTACCCACTGGAAAGGATGGCCTAACGCGCCAGCTCCCGAGAACTTTTCCAGTAGACGGGCAGCCGCGCGTGCGCTGCTCCTGATGAGGGTTGTAGATCGCAAAGGCGTGGATTTTGAATTCCACACCGGTCCCTCTGTGATTTCCTGTGTCAGAATCCAGCCTAATCTCGGGTCGGGCGAAAGGGGGGGTTTGGGAAAGGGGGGGTTACGAAATCTGCTGCATGCAGCTGGTTTCGGCCCCGCCGCCGGGCCCATTCCTCGATACATGGGCGCCTCCCGGCGCTGGGAGGCGCCTGTAAAATCAGCTACGTGAGCTGATTCTCAAACCCCCCCTTTGCTATCCTCCCCTTTCACCTGGCCCGATAATCTGGCTTGGCCTGGAGCTTCATCTTGCACTGCCTGGCCTGGTGGCCTCCGCCAGCGGGCATGCTGGGCAGTCATCGGGGTCGCGGCCTTGGGGCCCGCCTCCTGCTTATATAAGTTTTTCCATGCGGAGGCGGGTCCGAACACTCCAGCTCGTCGGGGGCGGATGCTCTCGGGACACGCCTCCCCCGACGTGTTTGCGCGGCGGCTCTTGTGGAGGCTCTTGCGCGGAGCTTGGCATCGCTCGGACGAGTGTATTTTCGTCTCGGCGGGGACCCTTGAGGAGCATCCTGGATCATTTGGCGACAAAAATCACGCGCGGAACCGACGAAAACACAGAAAATGGACGTTCGAGCGATGGCCAGGGAGGCGGGCCCCGAGATTCCCGCTCCGAGGAGGCTGGTGCAGCTCGAGCGTCGGAGGTCCCGGCGACGGCCTGCCGCGGGCGTCGCCCCCGGTCGTTCCTCTCGCGCGTCGCCCTGCGCGCTCCGCCCTGCCCGCGCGCCGACCCCCCGCGGGTGCGGAGCGCTGTTTCGCGGAGGTCCCGCGCGGAGCAACGCATCCGTGCGGCCGCGCGTCCGCGGGATCGGGCCCGGGAGGAGGCAACCCACTCCTGGGAGGAGGAGGAGGAGGAGGAGGAGGAGGAGGAGGAGGAGGAGGAGGAGGAGGAGGAGGAGGAGGAGAGGAGGAGGAGGAAGGGGATGCCGTTTTTTCTCCCTCCAGGACCTCCTCCTCCTCCTCCTCCTCCTCCTCCTCCTCCTGCGTCCGCAGACCACGTTTGGAGGCAGCCCACTCCTGGGAGGTCAAAGTCTGACCCTGCCCTGGTCCGAAGTCCAGCTGAAGCCTGCCCGATCCCGCTTTCAATCCAGCTCAATCCCGCTCAATGTGGCCCGATCCCTCGTCTTAACCCCGCGGCTTCACTTGGCGTAACACAGCCCCCCAATTGGGCTCAGTCAGTCAGCCAGTCTTCCTCAACCCTTCTCGCGAGGACCTCCCAGCAGTTGCCCTCTAAGCTTCGGAGGCGTGCGCCGCTCGTGAGGCTGGTGCGAGGCGGACGCCTGGCGCCAAGGACCCTCGGGAAGTGTTGCCGCCCACCGGGGGGCGACGGCGGCGGCGGCGGCGGCGTGCCCGCCCCTCCGCGAGGCCATCCGCGGGCGCGTCCACAGCGCGGAGATCGGCCTGGCGGACGAGCTGCAGGCCATCCGCAAGGACGCCGCACGCCCCCGCCCCCGCCGCCCCTCCCCGCGAGCCCCCACCGGTTGGGGATCAGGCGGAGTTTTGAGATTACCAGCCTGGAACATATCCTTATCCCTATGCTGGGCATCTCCTCATCACGATGCCAATCTTAGGGATTCTCTTACTTTTTGAGGGCGCATCCCTAAGATTGTCATCGCCTTTTGGCGTGTCAATCTTAGGGATAGGGATACGTTCGAGGCTGGTAATGAGAGCGTTCCAGAACGCCCTCAGAGCGTGCCGGAGCGCTCTGGGAAGGCCGCGGCGCGCCAAGCGTCCTCCAGAGCCGCCAGGGCCCTGTCTGATCTTGTCTCTGTTCTGGCTGCGTCCTGCGGGAGCGGTCCTGCCGGGGAGGGGCCGGAGGCTGACACGGGATTTGCCATGCCTTCTCGGGGGCGCCAGTGCGCGGGGTCCGCAGAGCCTCCTCCTGCTGCCCATCTTTGCCTTCCGCCTCCGCCTCGGCCTATCTCGGCCTGCTTCTCCTCCCTCCTCTGGCTTCGCTCCCCCCTCCGTGTCGTCCTCATCCCCTCCGCGCCCGCCTCCTCCCGTGTTCCCTTTTTTCTCCCCGCTTGCCAGGGCCCGTGAGGCAGCATAATTACTCGAGAGCCGTCTGGCGGGCCGGGATTCACCTTCTGTCGGGGATGCCTCCAGCCAGCCCCAGACGTCAGCGACTCGCGACAAGCACCGAGTTTTGGAGCCCTTCCTTGCACAGTTTTCAGCGTCCCAGGGCCGTATAGCTGTCGGAGGTGGATAAACCTCCTACCCTGAAACGTCGATTAAGGAATTTGAAGTTTTCGGTTCGCGAGAGGGCGTCGCGGCCGTCATGTTTGCGGGTCCAGGTCCGTCGGTTTCGGTCCCAGGCCGTTTTCATTAAGGGGAGGTTTACGAAAGGGAGGTTTGTCCACCGCCGATTCTGGAGCCCTTCCTTGCACAGTTTTCAGCGTCCCAGGGCCGTATAGCTGGGCTCCGGGAGCGTCAAAAGGCGGCTCGTGGTGCGACACTGGGCCCAGGTGGTCCCCAGGGGCAGGGGCCGAGAGAGTTCCAGGGGCCAGCGGCTCAAAAGTTGGGGTCGCCGGATGTCTGACGCGGTTCGTTGCCCCAAGCTGTCCAGGGAGGCCCCCTCTTGGCCTCTGGGCGCCCCCAGCGAGGTCCAGGCGGGAGATCGGGAGCACCTCGGAGCAGGGGCACTTCTGCTAGCGCTCGAATGGAGACGTCGGAGCCGGATGTGTGGTGCTCACGTCTACGGTCGGGGCTGATTTGCAGGTCGACCCTGCCAAATCAGGGGTACCCTCGAGTCTGGTGCTCCGCGACCCATGCCTCAGTCTCGGGCACAGCGTGACCGTGTAGAAGTCGCACCCCCTCGCCATGAACGTGAGCTGCTCCTCCACGCGCCCGATGCTGGCCAGGGTACCCTTGGCTGCGCCCCCAGACTCCTCCGCGTGCTTGTTGGCTCGCCCCAGCTCGCGCACCAAGTTCTGCAGCCCGATGCCGACCTCGGACTGGGTCCCGAGTCCCCTCGCGTGTCCTCTCCAGTCAACCCCGACTGCACATTCTTGTCGAAGTTCAGTTCTCCGATCGCCTCCTGAAACCAGCCCTCCGACCCGCCCCCCCCCCTGGGGGGCCGGGGCGAGGTGGTCGCTCCTCCGACCGCCCCCTCTCCCGCCGCTTCCCTGGGGAGGTGGGCGCGGTCAGAGCACTTCCCTCCCAGAGAGGCTGCGCCGCCTCCTCGATCCGCGGGCCTCCTCTCCCCTCCCAATCGATCCTCGGGGCTCCGGGGATCGAGGATGGGAGGTTTCCTCGGACGCCTCTGGTCCACCTTGGGCCTCCGGGGGCTGCAGAGGCTTTCTGGCGAGGCCACCTTGGACCTCGGCCTCGTCGTTGCGGTCGTCATCGTGCGCCGCCTCCTCCTCGTCCTCCTCGCCGTCGTCTCATCAACCCCCCCACCCTTCGATGCACCTCCCTACCCTACGCCTCTTGGCCCCTCCTCCCCCCCGACTCTACCTTCTCCGCCTCCTCCTCCTCCTCCTCCTCCCTCCTCCTCCTCCTCCTCCTCCTCCTCCTCCTCCTCCTCCTCCTCCTCCTCCTCCTCCTTCTCGTCCTTTTCATCATCACCACCATCATCATCGCCATCGTCAACACCATCATCGCCAGGTACCGTCAGAGTGTTAAGTCTTGTATGTTGTGCTGTGCCCCCGAGGGGGATAACCCTGAGCACATGTTCGATTGCAGTGTAATGATCACCGCCCCTGCACCGCACCTTGCCTCCTCTGCCCGAATCCTGGGCCTCCGTCGCTCCGATGTCTCGTCTGAGATTGCACGCGTTGGCCAATAGGTCTCGTGAACTGTTGTTGATGTGCTGTCTCTGCCATGGTCTGACATGTTGCTCGTTCGATGAGCTGCGCTTGTCGGGACCACGAGGACCAGGTCCTGTCCGCACTTAGTCGCAGTGCGAGCAAGAACGCTCGCCAAGAGATCGTCTGGGGTTAGGGGCATCCTCAGTCAACGTCAATACCATCAACATCATCGTCATCACCTGGCATCAGCATCAGCATCATCACCATCATAATCACTTCCATCATCATCAACACCATCATCACCATCGTCATCACTTCCATCATCATCATCATCATCATCATCATCATCATCATCATCATAGTCATCATCATCATCATCATCATCATTACCATCATCATCATCATCATCATCATCATCATCATCATCATCATCATCATCATCATCATCATCACCATCATCACCATCATCACCATCACCACCATCATCATCACGAACCATCAGCCCCCTCACATCCCCCTGGACCTTCCAGTAACCCTCGAGACCCCCACAGGAACCCTCTCCTCCCTCCCCCCCGCGCGCACGCCCTCTCGTGAGGGGGCCGCAGAGACTCACCTCCGTCCTCTTCCTCGTCCCGCTCCTCCTCGCGTTCGCCCGGGCCCCTGCTGGCTCCGGGGTGCCACGGCCCTCTTTTGAATTCCGTGGTTGGAGATCTCGACTCCGCTGCCGTGGCCGTGTCTCGGGGTGGCATCTCGAGGCACCTCGCAACGGCGGCGCAGATGTGACGCCTGGGGCGGGTCTGTGCCGCCGTTCATGTTGCGAGGTCCGACTGCATGTGAATTCATGCAGGCACCTTGGGCACCTCCCTTCGGGTTGTGTCGCCCAGGTGTTTTGTCTGGGCACAAAAAATAAAACAGAGGGGGGGGGAGTCCAAGGTGGGGTGCTTGTGGCTGACATGTTCATCTCGACGGGCCGTCCAGAACCATTTCCTTTCACTCCACCTCTGGCACTGCCCCATCTTTACGCCCCTTCGTCATGACGATGTCGTCGTCCCACGGCGCCCCCCAGAGCTCTCGGGGGCTCTCTGGAGGATTCTGAAGGCCTCCAGGACTGGAACCTTCAAGAGGCTTCAGGAGGCCCAAGCAAGGGCCCAAAGCATTCTGACATTTTGATCCTCACTTCTCTTCCCCACTCCACTGAAGGACGACTGCCTCAGCGAGTCACTGAGTTATAAAACGAGGAGGAGGCGGCGCAGGCAGAGGAGGGCTGACACAGAATGGGTATTGCGAGAGTTGGTACGATGCCCCGCGCACCCAGCGCCCGTCCAATTACTGCGAGATATGACTCGGTGCCGTGCACACCCAGGTGATGGGTACGCCCCTCCTCCGTCCTTACCTCCTTCACCAACATCCTTCATGACGCCCGGCCCCTATTAGCCGACCTGGTATGCGATCGAAAGCGTGCCAGAAGCTGTAGCCGAAATTGTGGTCCGGTCGAATTTGTAACCGAAGTGGGACATTGGCTTGACCGTTCGGCCACCCTCTGGTGCATTCGGAACATTTCGGGCGCCAGTTTCGGTCACACACGTTCAGATGTTCGGGCAAAATTCTGGGCAGTAAGACGAGTCTGCGTGACATTCTTCGGACACCCGCCTTCATCGTACCGCAAGAATGGGTGAGGTGCTGCGAACACCGCGCCGATGTCCCCATCCAAGAGGAGCAAGACAGGCCCGTGGCAATCTAAACGGTTGCCGTCGGTCACTCTACATTCGCGCCTTTACCTTCCCTTGTATTGTTTTTCTCTCTCTCTCTCTCTCTCTTTCTCTCCCGCGCCCCCCGAAGATTGGTGCGAGGCCGCACGCGGGCGCGCAACTTCGCGAGGAGAGGAGGAGAAGAGGGGGCATAATAGGGAGCCGGATGCGAACCCTACCCCTACCCCCCACGATTTCTGAGGGGGAGGCTGGGGTTCACTTTGCTCGGGAGCTCCCGAGCGAAGTGAACCCCACCCTCCCGCTCAGAAATCGTAGGGGGTAGGGGTTGGGTTCGCATCTGGCCCCCTACATAACAGCCGAGAGTTGAAGAGGGAAGAGGAGGGGGCGATGTCCTCCCCGAGCGGCACCGACGCGCAAAGAGCCCCCCCCCCCGCCGCCGCCCTGCAGCCGTGTGCATGGCAGCGTGGAGCGGACGTGCTGCAGAAAGGCGCACGGTTCCCAACCGTACAGGCGAAACCGATGGTAGACTTTCCCAAGTCTAAGGATGAGCAGGAGGAGGAGGAGGAGGAGGAGGAGGAGGAGGAGGAGGAGGAGGAGGAGGAGGAGAGGAGGAGGAGGAGGAGGAGGATAGGGGGCCACATGCGAACCCTACCCCTACCCCCCACGATTTCTGAGGGGAAGGGTGGGGTTCACTTCGCTTGGGAGCTCCCGAACGGAGTGAACCGACCCCCCCCCTCAGAAATCGTGGGGGGTAGGGCAGGGGTAGGGTTCGCATGTGCCCCCCTAGAGGAGGAGCAGTAGGAGGAGGAGGAGGAGGAGGAGGAGGAGGAGGAGGAGGAGCAGGAGGAGGAGGAGGCGGAGGAGGAGGAGGAGGAGGAGGAGGAGGACCGATGGGTAACCTTCCCAGGGGTGCCCCTGCATCCTTGCCTCCTCGGTCCACCCTTGACTACTTTCGATGGCCCTCCGAGGACGACATGGGCATCCAAGGGGCTCGCAACGGCGTCGCCCCAGCATACCAACACAATGTGTGAGTCGCCCCCCCAGGGGCGACGCGCGCACCGAAAAGTACGTCGTGGCGGGCGCGTTCTGGCCACACCGCTCGGGGCACGAAATGCTACAAGATGGGCACACTCTGAGTTCGGGTCGGACGCGCGCCAGACCTCCTACCCTGACACGTCGATTAGTGAATTGTCCGTTTTCGTTTCTCGAGAGGGCGCCGCGGCCGTTATTTTCCAGGCTTGCGCCCGCCAGGTTTGGGCCCGAGGTCGTTCTCACTAAACCACGTTTTGCTAAAGGGAGGTCTGTCCATCCCCGGAGGACATGTCAGTGTGTCTCTGTGCGCCCCACTGCATCCCAGCCGTCGGTCTGGACTGTGCCGCCGCTCGCAGTGCGCTGCGCTCAGCGCGTCCTCGGCGGCCCTGCCGCGGGAGGGGCCCCGTGGAGGCCGCCGGCCCCGCGGGAGGGGGCCCCCCCTCCCGCGCGGGGAGGCCGGTCGGAGTTCGGGGGGCCGGGGCTCGGTGGGGTTGACTGGAGTCGGGCGCGTCCCTCTAGAAGAGGGGTATCGGGGTTGGACAGACCTCCTGCCCTGACACGTCGATTGAGGAATTGGCCGTTTTCGGTTCGCGAGAGGGCGGCGCGGCCGTCATTTTTGCCTGTCCAGGTCCGTCGGTTTCGGTCCCAGGCCGTTTTCACTAAGGGGAGGTTTACGAAAGGGAGGTTGTCCACCGCCGAGGGTACCCAAGAATGGCCAAAACAAGAAGAAACATCGGGGACCGACTCATTTGGACTATCTCTGACCATGCCTGGGCATCGCTTGCCTTCCTGTCAGTGTGTCGTCGGGAGTCCGCCTGCCGAGGGACACGCCCGACCTGTAAAGCTCGACGAACCGAGGGCCGCGGCGGGCTTGACCGTGCAGGCGCAGACGCCGGGCGGCGAGAGCTGCACGCGGCCCAGCTGCTCCAGGCCTGGCCAGGCTCCTGCGGGGCCATGGGGCGCTGTGCACATGCCTCTCTGGCCAGGCCGGGAGGGCTTTTGCTCTGTGTCCCTCATCGACTACAAGTATAGAGTGACCTTTCGCCGGAGTGACCTTTGGTGCGGGCCTAATGGGGTCCCCCGATCGCCGGACGCGAAGCGGTAGTAGCGTTTTGCGCGCTTGTGTTTGGCACCCCCGCGCTCCCCCGAAAGCCGCACACCAAAGGTCACTCTTACCCAGGGTCACTCCTGCGTGCAGCCGAACTCAACAGTTTTGGGTCCCCGGGCTACTGGTACCCCTTCCGGGTATGGGCAGGGCCCTGGTTAAAGGGGAGCCGGTTATGGTGATTGGTCCCCGAAGCTCAAAGTATGGATTGGGATCATTACAGTCAGGCCTGCCGTAGCTGTTGCTTTTCGGGTTACGGCAATTCTGGTTGGTGGCATGGGACGGGATCAGAGCCCCGAATCACCCCGGACCCGAGTTACCCCGGACCCGAGTTACCCCGGATAAGTCGGGCGCCCAACGGGGGGGGCGCCCCCCGGTTCGACATCACTAAACCAGGTCCCACGAAACCAGGTCCCGCCAACGCCCGACCCTTCCCCAGACTACAGGTGCCCCCCCTCGGACTACAGGTACCCTTCCCCGGTCTACAGGTACCCCCCTGGGCTGCAGGTACCCCCCCCGGACTACAGGTACCCACCCCCGGACTACAGGTACCCCCGTCAGGCGCTACAAATCCCCCCCCGAAGCTGCAGGACCCCCTGAATTCGCATGCTTTGACGAATAACATGCGCGCCCCCCCCCCCCCCCCCCGACTACAGGTACCCCCGCGAGGCCCCACCCCCGGACTACAGGTACCCCCCTCCCGGACTACAAGTACCCCTTCCCCAGACTACAGGTACCCGCAAAACTATTGAGGGACACAGAGTAGCACCGCTCCTGCTGGGGCCGAGAATAGGCCAGGCCCGGGGCAGCGGATGTGTGTAGATCTCGTGACCCTAGAATTCAGTCGGGCGTGTCCCTCTACAGGAGGAAAATTCAAAGATAGTCAATCAATAGCTTAGGGACGAATGTTCTATTATGTTTGGACTATGTTTGGATATGTTAGGACTTTGTTTTAATTCCTCTTCCAAAATCCGCCTGTAGGAGGACATGCCCGACCTAAGTGTAGATCTCGTGACCCTAGCACTCGCACTGGCCGGCCCATGCAAACACGCGGGCTTTCGCTGACGTCTTGCCTCCCCGGGGGAAGCGCAGGTGCATTGTCCCTGCCAGGAGCCAGCTGGAGAGGGGGCCAGGGGTCCGAACAGGATGCAGGGAGGGCAGGAAGGTTCAGGAGGGACAGAATATACACACAGACACGATTCATCGTCGACTCCTAGGAAGATGTGGGAAGATATGGGAAGGGGGCGACGACACACAGTTTCAGAAACTATGGGAACATATGAAAAATCCTGGGATCTGGGTGTCTTTGTTTGTGTGTCCCTGGGTCCCTTCAAGGTGCCGGCCGCTCCGGATAGGTAACAAGCATACATGAGCAGGATACCGGATCTGTACAGATCGTTGCCCAGCTCAAGTTGCTTCACTCGTCCATGGAGCTCGTGAGGCCCCCCCCCCCCCAGAGAGTGTTGATGCATCAGATGGGGCGATGGCCTCGTCGTCTTCCGCGAAGGCACTGCCGCTCGGACACCTTGACCCTCCTCCTCCTCTTCCCCTCCTCCTTCTCCTCCCCCTTTGGACTTCAGACAGGTTGGCCCCTGCTGGTGTTCGTGCTCGTCCTCCGCTTCCTTCCCGGGCGAAGTCGTCGGCGTCACCTCTGCCTCGAAGGGGAAACAACGCCACAAGCATAAACTCTGGCGCTCCCTTGGATCCGCGCCGGGCCCCCCTCGGCGGTGCCTCCAGCGCCGCCCCTGGCGCGGTCCGCGCGCCAGGAAGGGGGGGCCCAGCGCAGATCCAAGAGATCCACGCAGAGCGCCAACAGTTTATGTGCCTATGCCGCTGCTTCTTCTTCCGTTGCCTTCGCCCTCGTCCTCCTTCCTCTCCTGTGCGGATCATGTATGAAAGATGGTGGGATTTAGTACTAAAACCAACGATGAGTTCATGCATACACTTATGCATTAATCATGTATTGAAAATCCTCTATTTTTCACAACTCCTGTATGCCGTTGTTTCTTCTTCCGTTGCCTTCGCCCTCGTCCTCCCCGCGCCGGTGCCGCCTTTTGCGGCAGGACGTCTCGGACCTGAGCGCCGCGTTGCGGCAGCAGGTCCAGCTGCTGCGGCAGGACCTGGAGGCGCACCGGGAGGAGCGCGGCGCCCGCCCTCCTCGGTCGGGTATAGCCAGGGCCCGGGGTAAGGGGACCCGGTTATCCGGAGCGAAAGAAGGCCGTACATGTACATGAGTCCACGCTGGTTTCGAGAGCACGCATTGCACAAATGTTCGTATCACGCGGCCGGTTTCGCGAATCGAGGGGCCGTGTTCATGTACATAGCCGGGCGCGTACGTCTTTTGTGGGCTCCCTAGGTTAGTGGTAGGGCCCTGGGGCCCCTCAATTAGCCAGATTCACTAAACCAGGCTTGCCGTAGCCGGTGTGCTTCGGGTGACGGCAGTTCCGGCTAGTGGGAATGGGACGGGGGGGCGCCCCCGGTACAACTCACGAAGCCAGGCTCCACTAAACCCAGTTCTGCCAACGCCCGACTCGGGGCCCACTGCTCTCAGGGGCGCCGAAGGTTCAAGTCGGGCATGTCCCTCTACAGGAGGAGCATTCAAACATAGGCAAACAAAGGTCTAGGGACGATTCATCGACAGTTCTTGACAATTTGCAGATATGTTTTGAATATTTGTATTTTTGTCGCCCGGAATCCGTCTTTAGGGGGACATGCCCGACCTAATTCTATGCACATCCACCGCCTGGGGATCCGATTTTCCAGGGCTCGTCGGCGAGCGAGGGGGGAAGCGAGAAGGGGCGGGCCTTCTCAGAAGGCTCGGAGGTCCCCTGGCCTTCCGAGAAGTGTTCTAAGCCTGCCCCGAAGACACGGAAAGCTTCTCAGAAGGAGCGAAGGCTTCTGAGAAGACCCGCCGCCTTTTGAAAAGGCCTTCTCCTTCTCATTTCCCCCCCTTCGCTCGCCGCCACTGGACTGCGGGAGGCGGCTGCGCATGGACAGTCGCGCTTCGCAGGCGAACTTTGGTAGGTCCGCGCGGAGTTCTGGGCTCGGCGCTGGCATCCTCCCCCTGGCGCCGCCTCCTGCGCCGCCCCTCACCACGCACCAAACCACCCCAGCCCAACCCGAAGGCCTCCATTTGCCCTCCACTTCCAGTGTGGGGGGGGGGGTCTGGGAACATCGAAAAAACACAGATTGAGCCCATACCCTCCTCCTCCTCCTCCTCCTCCTCCTCCTCCTCCTCCTCCTCCTCCTCCCTCCTCCTCCTCCGCCCTCCTCCTTCTCCGAGCCGATCTCCCAGGACCTCCGCGGGCAGTGGATCTGGAGAGGTTCGGGCCCACGGGTGCTTGCTTACCCATTTCCGCATCCGTGGCATCCTCGAGTCCTCTGTGAGATCGGTCGCCAAAGCGGGGGATGCGTGCAAGTCCCGATCGCCGAATCCTCGCCGATCTTGGCCCCGGCACCCTACTCTGTCCTGGAGCTTGCGGGCTCGCAGGAATGCGCTTGAGTCGCCGATCTTTCGGCACTGTGTCGGCGATTCTAGGTCGACGCGTCCCCCCCCCCCAACCCAGTCTTCCCATTCGTCCCCAGGCGGAGGGCTCGCGGACGTCGTTGTCGTCGTCGCCGTCGACGTCGTGGTGGCTGTCGCCGTCGTCGTCCTCCTCGCCGCCGTCGTCGTCGGAGAAAAGATCAGGAGGGATTCCCCAGCCAGGAGGTCCCTGGGGTTCCGTGCAAGCCTTTGCAGGAGTTCCCCTCCCCATTCCCCCCCACAAAGGCTCGATGGAGAGAGAGGCGGAGGAGGAGGGGTGGAGGAGAAGGAAGAGGACAAAATCACACCCTGGATGGAAAGCGGAGCCCATTTTTTGGGGACTTGTCACAATTCCGCCTCGGTGGTCTGCGGGGGGTTGCGGGTGGGGGGTCAGTATCGGGACAGGTTGGGTTCTTTGTCGATTGGTGTCGAAACTTTGTCGACATGGTGTTGACATTGTGCCGACACCATGTCGACACAATGCCGACACACATTGTTTTCTACAAACAAGCCCTCAGTGCCATCAGCGAGCGCGGTAGGGCGCAGCGTATCGTTGGATGTTGCAGTTTCTTCTGCCTGGATTTGCAACGCTCTCTGAAACGTTTTGGCAGAGCGGCAGTTGATGAGTTGTTGCGGGAAATGGTAGAAAACAGTGCGCATGCAGAAGACCGATCTCGATGGCAAGGAATGGTGGCTTGGTTCGATCGGGTCGTTCAGGGCTCCGGTGCACACGCGCAGATGGCAGTCACAACTGTACGATTCAAGAAGGTCGGAGGCAGCAGGAAACAGCGAGGGCAGAGAAGGAGCAGCCTGACCACTCGAGACCTTCAACAGCACACAATTTATGGACATGCCACGCGTCAGCACAAGTGGAATCCACGTAGCGCGGATTCCTCCGTCCACTTACCGTGTTGCAGAAAATCGTCTTGCACGTCATCGAGCTGCTTGAGTACAGAAGAGGTAGCGTGAAGCGCAGCTTTTGCTGAACCTTCTACGTAAGACAGCAGTGTGTGACAATGACACAATCGAACCATGTCGCGTGTAGAAACGAAACGACGGGTGCGCAGCAGCGCCTTTAGTCTCCAGGTTGTCAGAGCAGCATCAAGTATTGATATTGATAACTTTCAAGATTTTCAGGTTTTCTTGTTCTTCCGCGCGGGCTGCAGGGACCACTGTTCGAGCGCATTCCGTCGCGCAGGTTCTTTGCGTGATGTGTGCGGTGCGTTTTTCGCGCATCGGAGCGCCCTCGGACATTCCAAGCTGCATTCTGTTTTGCTCTTGGGGAGTCCGTGAGTCGCAGCTGCCGTGGCGCGATGTTCAAGGTAACCCCTTCGAGTGCTGTTCGCGGGCGCAGGGCGCGGCGCGCGCTGCGCCCAATCGCACGCGGCGCGGCGCGTGAATCAGCCAGCCGCACCCGTCGTACCGCCTGGAAATTATTGCGGGATGTAGAATGTTTCGAAACACGCTCCCGGCTGTTTGGCGCAAGCGGTCTTGAACATTTTCAAACACGATTCAGGAAATTTCAAGCACACGCACGCACACGTTTTCTGGGGTCCGCGCAGGGCATCTAAAGGATTTTGAAATCTGGAGTTTATCGAAAAAATGAGTTCGCAATTTTCCAAAATCGACCCCAGAATTTGGGAAATCGATTCGGGGATTTGTCGAGCCGGACATGTTCAAAAACGTTTCCGGATTTCCCAAGTATGCCCCCGGAGAATTTTCGAGAGTCGCGCGTGATTTGCTTTACCAGATTTTTGGGAATCCGCCGAGGCGCGCAATGCGCGGCGGCGGGCGACAGGACGGCGCGCCACCGCCCCCCCCGCGCTCGGCAACAAAAAAGGGGATCCGCAAGTGCCAAATAGCTCCCTTACGGGCGACTACTCGATTGCGAATGGGTGACCGACCAGCGGCGCCAGGCAAAGTAGAAAATACCCCGCGCAAAAACTGAATCCCGGACCCCCGGAACGTATCAATAACACATTGTGTCAATAGGTTCTTGTCGTCCTAGGTCGCCTCCATGGAATCACCTTCGTGGTGCAAGGGACTTACAGTTTTGTTTCATCGGAACGGCCCGCGTCAGCGTAGTGCACATTGCAAAGCGGAGGACCGAAAACAGTATTTTGAGTACCGTGTATCCCAGCTATGATGCCATAGACGCAGACCCTGGCAGTGCGAGGCTCCAGCCAGGCATGTACTACTCTTGCGAATCCTTCTGGCATGCCGACGGCGCGGAGCTTGGCGAGAAGTTTGGAGGATCGTACTTTTTATCTGCAGGATCGTACTCTTCTGAATGGATCAGATACGTCGGAGTAGTGGACTGCAAACCGGCGGCTTGTCCCGACTGCGCATACCCAGTGGCTCACTGTATAAGCGAAGGCGTCGCGATACCCCCGGCCGCGGTGGCAGGCGAAATGGCTACGACAGTATACGCGGGTACATTCGAACAACGGGAGAAGCCCGTTGGCAAAGATCCGTTCGACCGTCCTGCCGATTTGAGACGGTAATTTCATCGCTACGCTCACTACGCCGGCCCGTACTGTGCCATCGCAGGCGTTGGCTTACGCGTTCGTGGCCTCTTTTGGTCTCTTGGGGGATGTTTTGGGGCCTCTTGGAGCCTCCTTTTGGGTCTCTAATGGGGCCTCGCGGGGTCTCCTCCAGGGGGCATCCTGGACTCTCTTGGGGGCCTCTTGGGGCCTCTTGGGGCGGAAGGCTTGAATCAGTGGTTCGTATTCTCCCTCTTGGGCTCCTCTTGGGGCCGTCTTGGGGCCCTCTTGGGCGATCTTGGGCGCCTCTGGGGCCCTTTTGGGGTCGTGGACCGTCTGGGGCACCTCTTCTTGAAGGCCTGTCGGGCCGTCTTGAGGTGTCTTCGGGGTCCTCTCGGGCCATTTTGGGTGGCTTAGGTCGGTTTGAGGGCGTCTCTGGCCCTTTTTTGGGCCGTCTCGGGGCGTTTTTGGGCCCGCGTGGCCGCCTCTTGGGCCGTCTATGAGCCGTCTTGGGTCATCGTGGGGCCATCTTGGAAAGAGCGTATTTTGTGATCGCTTGGGGGGATGGGTGGGTTGGAACTGGACCCCCCCCCCAGATGGAGGGGGGAGGTTTCGAATCCCTCCCCCTCCCATGACGGCGAAGGCCAAGTACCGTGTTGAATTACAAGGCGGGCAATCATGGACTGGTGCTGCGAGCTCACGTGCACAAGTCGTCAGCAGCCTCACTGAAACAACATCCTGGCCTGTGCCGGAATCTTCTCGGAGGCGTCGGAAAATTTGCAAAGCGTCTCGAGGCCGTATTGGGTTGAAATTCGACATTGCGTGGTTCATGTTCGGTTCGATCTTGGAAGACACATTCAAGGAAGCATCGGGCAAGCCGAATTCATGACTGAATGTATTCGCGAAGAAATCTGCCGTCAGCTTTGGTTCCAAAGGCCACGTCCCAGCAGTCGACAATTAGCTCCCAGCGCGAAGCATGAATGAATCACAAAGAGGCCGCCATTCCTTGCAGGTCGGGGCGTAATTCCACTCTTCGTTGCCGGGTGCTGGCGGTATGTGCCCAGTACTCTCGAAGCAAGCCCTAGGAGCATTCTTTATGCCTGGTCTCGTTCTCAGGAGAGCCGTGGGCGTCCACCTTTGCTGCTATGAATTTGAAACGGCTGCCATTAAGCTCAGTTTGCGTCGATCTCCGGATGGTCGCCTGAAAGGTCGGGATGACACGCCTGGCAGTGTTCCTAAGCAGCGTGGTGAAATTGAGAATTGCCGCCGTAGGGTCGACAGATAACACCAATCCATAGTATTGAGGATTCCACAGGGACCATTCCAATCAGATTTCTTGAACACACACCGTTCCATTGTTGGCGCCACTCATCTGCCACAAGGTGGCGGGCGGGCTTGGGGAGCGTCATGATGCCAGGATTGGTAGGTACCAGCATTCAAAAAAGCAGCCCCAGACCTCCCCTACGGGATGGAGTGTCCAGTGTATACATTCAGGAAGTTGCTCTTGAGGTCGCCCTGGCACTGCTGGAAGGCCGCCTCCTTGTCGATCACGATGTGTCGCTCACGGGGACCCTCCACCTTCCAACGGAGACTTCAACGTGCTTGTCGGCCTTCCGAATGTCGTAGTTCCTCTTCTTCTGGTTTGGGGTTTTGGCGGCCTTCACGATGAGCGTTTTGCCGTCTGCGCCGACAGAGACAACCCCACGCCACGACGAAAACACAACCAACCCCGACACTGAACAGCATGACGACAGCACAAGTGACGACAGCAAGTCCAGCGTCAGACAGCAACTAGACTTCGATGACGTCAGAGACCAATCCGACCTTGAATCCTGGAACAATTTCATTCGCTGGGCTACCCACACCGCCTCAGACTTTGCGACGCGCGCGCTTGTGGAGGAATGGGTTACGATATTTCTTAAGCATACATGGAGATGGGTTGGGCGAGTTGCTAAACAGCCACACCACAGCTGGGCCCGACTGGCGGCGGCTTGGGAACCTGATATCCATGACCCCTGGTCAGCACGACGGCGACACGGCGGACAGCGAAAGCGGTGGAGTGACGACATCACAGAATTTGTGCACAAGGCTTTGGTTGGAAGCACACCCGGCACATGGTTACAGAGTGCTACAACTTCCAAATTGTGGGTGGACCTCGAGAGCGACGTCTTGAAGTTCACATGCCTGTGACCGGGCTCCGGCCCGCCCGCGCCTCCCCGAAGGGGCCTGCCCGCCCGCCGGCCGGCGGACTCCCGCTGTGCTGTGCTCTGCTGTTTTGCCGTCTACGTTGACGGGCGTCTTGGAAACGTCGACGCCGGACAGGAATTATTTGTCCACGTCAGCGCTTCGACAGTTTGTGGTTGTGGTAAGGGCCAGTAAAGTCGTTGCAAAAGCCACCAGGGCGAAACGACTGGGCCATCCCAAACTGACGTCCAGGCAAGTTGAGACGATCGTGGAAGCGTAGGAGCAATCTGGGGGACAGTCGTTGTCGTTCGAGGGAGGACGAGGAGGCAGAGGAGGAGGAGGAGGAGGAGGAGGAGGAGGCGGAGGAGGAGGAGGAGGACGAGGACGAGGAGGAGGAGGAAGAGGAGGAGGAGGAGGAGGAGGAGGGGGAGGAGGAGGGAGGAGGCAGGGGGCAGGAGCAGGAGGAGTAAACGAATGAGGATGTGCAGATGGAGAAAGAAGATGAGGGGAGGTGGAGGAGGAGGAGGAGGAGGAGGAGGAGGAGGAGGGAGAGGAGGAGGAGGAAAGAAAAGCCAGGCGCCTCGTTAGTGCCTCCTGGAGTCTCCTTGGATGTCACTCGGAAGCTTGTTGGAGGCCTCTTTCGGCGTCTGGGGGGGGGCATTGTTGAGGGCCCAGGGCCGTCTTTGAGCGTCTTGGGTACCTCGGGGATCCTCTTGAGGCTTGATGGGGGTCTCTTGGGAGCCTGCTGAAAGCCCTTTGGGCCCCTCTTGGAGCCGTCTGGGCGCCGCTTGGGGACCTCTTGGGAGCTTTAGGGGCACTCTTGGGGGCGTCTTGCAAGGCATCGATGCAACAAGAAACGGACTTAAATCAGGACCCCCCCTGAGGACCCCAACAATTCGCCTCTTGGTGCGCTCTTAGGGCGCTCTTGGAGCGCTCCTTCGGCGCTCTGAGGGCCTTTTTGGAGGTCTCTTGGGCCCTTCTTGGGGCCCTCTTGGGCCATCTTGGAGCCATCCCGAGGCATCGGAAGGCCATCGGGATGGAACAGGCGAAACAACATACAAAACCGTGAGTTTTCGTGGGCCTCTTGGTGGCCTCCTTGGGAGACTCCGTGGCCACCTGGAGCGGTCTTGGAGCGTTCTCGGGGCCTCTTGGGGCATCTGGGGAGCCATCTTGAGACATCTTGGGCTATCTTGAGTCATTTTAGAGGTCATCGTGGGCTCTCAGAGGCGCTCTTGGAGCCGCCTTGGGCCATCTTTGGCGCTTCAGCCCCTCTCAGAACCCATCGTCCAGGTCCAAGTGAGGGGTTGAGGGGAAGGGGTCAACCCCTCCCCGAAGGGGAATGAGGGGGTTGGAAGAGGAGCCTCCCGAGACCACGTACACCCAGAGGGCTGGTGGGATTATGTTTCACGCAGTTATCCATCTTCTGGCCAGCCTACAAACGCATTTCGGCAGAACATGTGATCGAGACGATCGACAGTGTTGATACGGTCCTGGAACGCAAGCGTGGAAGATAAAGATCTCGGGGCAGGAGGAGGATGAGTTTCGATGTGGGTCACGCGGTTGTCGAGGGTGTCCAGGAGGCGGTTGACGTGGTCGACGAATAGTTGATCTCTTTCGGGATTTCCTTCGTTGCCTCCGAAACCGACGAGTTGTTTGTTTCCCTGCGGCAAGTGGTGCTGTCCCCGGGTCGTGAGGCCATGGTGCAGAGCAAGTTGCCACACTTCCCGTCAGGAACGGTGTATTGACGCGAAATGTGGCGAGATGGTTCCCACCCCCGTGTCGTGTCATTGTGCATTCCCATCCAATGAACCACCCAGGTGAGACCCATGATATGGCAACAATGCTGCAATACCCCCCTTCCTTTCCAAAGCCCTCTCTCCACAACTCATTGCCAGAATTCGTTTTCACTGCTGGGGGGGCGCTCTCCTTTGCAAACAGAGCTGCCATGCATTAGAGAAACTAATGCACGAACGCATTTTTTCGTAACAGTAAGGAGCTATGTGTTCAACAAGAGCTCCGTTGTTATAATGAACGACCTCTACCCTTCAGCTGTCAGGGAGCTTGTAAGACGAATCTGCGCGGCGCTACGGCGAGAACCACACGTTGAACGCACTGCGCCTTCAATGCTTTGAATACCTGTAAGTTTATTAAAACGAATACGTGCAAGTCCAAGGCGATAACCACATTTAGGAAATATATTACCTTTCATCGTTGTAACATGGAGAGGGATGATGATGAGCAGGGAGGGGGAACAGCGGATAGAGGAGAGAGGAGAGGGAGGGAGGATGAGGAGGATGAGGAGGAAGAGGAGGAGGAGGTGGATGAGGAAGTGGAGGAGGAGGAGGAGGTGGAGGAGGAGGAGAAAGTGGGGGAGAAAAGAGGGCAGGGAGGGCTCGTCCCCCTCCCCCTTGGCGCTCTGACCTCTGTGGGGCCCTGAGGAGCTGGACTCGCTGGAGGGCATGCGGAAGATTGTCCAGCAGCACTTCGTGCAACAAGGGCCCCCAAGGCCCGAGCGAAAGGGCGGGGTGAGGAGGGGCGGCATGACCGACGTCGTCGACAGTCGACGGCGGCGGCGGCGGCGGCGGCGACGACGACGGGCGCGGCGTCGCCGCCGCCGCCGCCAACGGTGCCGCCGCCGCCCTCGCCGTCGTCGTCGTCGTCGTCGTCGTCGTCGTCGTCGTCGTCGTCGTCGTCGTCGTCGTCGACGCCGCTGCCGCCGCCGCCGCCGCGCCGCCGCCGCCGCCGCCGCCCTCGCCAGGCGGCGCCGCAGGGAGCCCCCGCTCGGCGACGGCGGGGCCCGCGACGACGAGGCGCGGAGCCCGTCGCCAGCGGCGCCCTCCGAGGAGCCGAAGGGCGGCGTCGTCGTCGTCGTCGTCGCCGCTGTCGCCGCCGTCGCCGCCGCCGTCGTCGTCGTCGTCGTCGTCGTCGTCGCCGTCGTCGTCGTCGCGGAGGCTCCCCGCAGGTCAGGGGCTCACATGACGCGATTCGATGTGAGGATCCCTGCGCGTCAGGCTTCTTCTGTGATCCCTGCGCTGCAGGCCTCGGTGCCTGTTCCATGATCCCTGCTCTTCAAGCTTCGGGGCTTTGAGGATGCCTGCGCTTCGAGCTTCTCTGATTGAGGAGGATCCCTGCGCTTCAAGCTTCGGCGCCCTCCGAGGGGCAGGAGGTTCCCCGCAGGTCGGGGGGCTCACGTACCGGGGCTCAACGCTCACAGGGGTCAGCTAATCCCTTCTGGCCGACCCCGGGTACCCTGAGATCCCCGCGCTACAAAGTTTTCTCTCACAGCGGGCGTCTTCGCCAGTTTCGGCCCTCCAGTCGATCCGGTTCAAAATATTGTCAGGCAGACGGTGTTCGGGGCTCCGGTCGTGATCTCTTGCCATGTTGATTGCTTTTTGGGTAACTTCAGATATCAGGTCAGGAAGGAGCCACGTGGGGCCGCTTCCCTCTTTCCGCCCTTGGCTGACCCGGGTGTGGGGACTGCTGAGCGGTTGGCCAGGCTGCTTCGCGACAGTGCCCGGGCCGACCCCTGGTGTGCACTGACCCCGTGCGAGTGCATGCGCCCCAGACGGGTCATGGGCAGGTTTCGGGCTCGAGGCTCGAGGTCTTCGGCGGCTCTCGGCGGCTTGCTAGCCTCGGGATGCTCTCCAGCACTGGCGCCTCGCCGAGAGCGTTCAAGAGGGTGCCCAGATCGTCCCGAACGGCCGACGGAGCCGAGTTCTCAGAGGGCCCGAGGACAGTCGTCGACGGGGAGCCGCCCCGGCCAGGCTGCGCCCCCGCGGGGGGGCTCCCTGCGCAGGGGCAGAGGTGCCTCCCCAGACCTTTGCAGTGGCAGCCCGTGCCAAGGAACACCCTGCTCAGGGCTCATTTCGATTCCTCCGATTCGATTCGATTTCGATGGTTTCCGATTCTTGTTCGATTCGATTTTGGATTCCGATTTGGGCTCCGATTTCTCAACGGAGGCCTACTAGCCTGCCGATTTCCGCCGATTCGACTTTTCCCGACTCGGCTGCCGATTTCCGCCGATCCGATTCATTTCGATCGCCGATCCGACTTCTCGATTCGACTCTGGGCTCTCCTGCTGCTTGCCTTTACGGTGACCTGGGTTTCTTGGGCGTCGATGGTTTTTGCTGCGGGAAGCGTGACGTTCCCACACCTAAAGTCCATGGACGCCCTGGGGTCTCAGGGGTATTTGGGCTTCTCGTGGAGGGTTTCGTGTGGTCGAGCTCCTACCGTAGTCGGACGAGGAAGGACATGCAGTGGTACAATGCGCACCCCTCGGAATCGCGCGTCTGGACATACGAGCATCTTGCAGTAGATCGCTTCCCGAGCGGCATGGCCAGCAAACGCGCCCGCCACGGAGCGTTGCCGTCGGATTTCTGGGCGCGGGCGTCGCCTCCGGGGAGGCCACCGCCAACGTGGTATTCGCATGTTCGGGTGGAGCCGATCCGGCGTATTGGAAACGGCATCTCGGAGGTTTTCCCGCCTTCGTGCTCGGCTCCCGGGTGCCCTCGCCGGGCCATGGGGCCGTCAACAGAAACAATCCGCGGGACGAACAATTGGGCACGTTGAAGAGGTCGAGACCTCCGGGGGTCCCGTATTGATGGGTCGGAGGTGAGGGGGTGAGATCGAAGTGGAACGGAGAGCCCCCTTACGGGGAAATCGGTTTCGGTTTCGTGCTCGTGCGTGCCTTGCGTGCGGGCGAGGCGAAGCTGCTTGGGCGGGCGAGAAGAACATCTCCTCCGGCTGAGGCGCGGCCGGACCAACTGATTCCTTTCCGGTGGCCGGTGGCCCGCGGTGTCCCGCCGGTGTCCCGCCTTTGGCTGAGGCGCGGACGCACCAAATGATTCCTTGCAGTGGCCCGCGGTGTCCCGCCGGTGTCCCGCCGGTGTCCCGTCGGTGTCCTGATGATGATGATGATGATGATGATGATGATGATGATGATGATGATGATGATGATGATGTCGATGATGATGATGATGTGATGATGATGGTGTCCCGATGATGATGATGATGATGATGATGATGATGATGATGATGATGATGATGATGATGATGATGATGTTGACGATGTTGATGATGATGATGATGATGATGATGATGATGTTGACGATGTTGATGATGATGGTGATGGTGGTGATGATGATGGTGTCCCGATGATGATATTGATGATGATGATGTTGATCATGGTGATGGTACCCCGATGATGATGATGATGATGATGATGATGATGATGATGATGATGATGATGATGATGATGATGATGATGATGATGATGATCATGTTGATGATCCTGGTAATGATGATGATGACGATGATAATGATGGTGTCCCGATGATGATGTTGATGATGATGATGATGATGATGAGGTTGATGATGAGGTTGATGATGCTATTGATGATGGTTTTTATGATGGTGGTGTCCCGATGATGATGATGTTGATGATGATGATGATGACGATGATTTTGTGCCAAAGATGATGATGATGTTGATGATGAGGATGAGGATGAGGTGGTGATGATGATTTTGATGATGGTGGCCCGATGATGGTGATGATGATGTTGCTGATGTTGATGATGATGGTGGTGTCCCGATGATGATGATGATGCTGCTGGTGATGATGATGGTGACGATGATGATGGTGTCCCGATGATGATGGTGTTGTTGTTGATGATGATGATGATGTTGCTGATGATGATGGTATCCTGGTGATGATGATGTGTATATATGAAGTTTTTATGATGATGGAGATGATGATAACGATGGTGGTGTCCCGGTGATGATGGTGTTGATGATGATGATGGTGTCCCGATGGTGATGATGCTGATGATGATGGTGATGGTGATAGTGTCCCGATGACGATGATGATGACGATGATGATGATTTTGTTGAATATGATAGTGATGAGGTGATGATGATGATGATGATGGTGTCCCGATGATGATGATGATGATGATGATGATGATGATGATGATGATGATGATGATGCTGATGCTGATGCTGATGATGATGATGATGATGCTGATGATGATGATGATGATGATGATGATGATGATAATGATGATGCTGATGATGATGCTGATGATGATGCTGATGACGTTGATGACGATGATGTTGTTGATGATGCTGATGACGTTGATTGTCAGATCGATTGTGATGTCGAAAGTGAGATCGATAGTGAGGCCGAATGTGAGATCGATTGTCAGACCGATAGGGAGATCGATTTGGAGATCGATAGTCAGATCGATTGTGAGATCGATCGAATGGAATATATCGAGTGAGAGCGATCGAGTGAGATCGATCCAGCGAGACCGATAGTGAGATCGATAGTGAGATCGATAGTGAGATCGATCGAGTGAGACCTTGGTTCCTCCCCCCCCCGAACCTCCTTATCACCCGAAGGGTGGTCGTATAGGTAAACTGTCCACCACCACCACCACCATATGCAGGACGGGGGAGAAGGGAGAATGAGGAATTCCTCCTTGTCCTCCTCCTGCTCCTTTTCCCCCGCCTCCTCCTCCTCCTCCGTCTCCACCTCCTCCTCATCCTTCTCCTCCTCCCTCCTCCTCTCTTCCTCCTCCTCCTCCTCCTGCTCCTCCTCCTCCTCCTCCTCCTCCTCCTCCTCCTCCTCCTCCTCCTCCTCCCGAAACGCGCGCTCGGATGCGGCTGTGCCCTCCTCTGCCTCCTCCTCCTCATCCTCCCTCTCCTACCTATGGTGGTGGTGGTGGTGGTGGAAAATGGGCTCATGACGTAGGGAAGAGAACAAGACCCCGGATCTCTGGGACAGGGTGCCCCTCAGGGGCAGCGCCCCTCGCCCTCGTCCCCCGGGGCCTCCTCGGCACCCTGGTGTCCTTGGGTTCTGCCCGCGTGCAGACAGCCCCCTAGGGCCCTAGCGCTCGACATCCTGGCACCGCCTCTCCAGGGCTCATCTCGATTGCTCCGAGTCGATACGATTCGATTTGGCTCCCGATTCCGATTCGATTCGGCTCTGGGTTCCGATTTGGATGCCGATCCTTCAGTGAAGGCCTACTAGCTTTCCGATTCCTGCCGATTCGATTTCCCCTGACTTGGCTGCCGATTCCGCCGATCCGATTCATGTTCGATCGCCGATCCGACTTGTCGATTCGATTCTTGTCCCTCCTGCCTCTTTCGACGCCCCCTCCGCTCTCCGGGGTTCGGGTGTGGAGACCGCCCCGGACTGCTCGGGGGCCTGTCGAGGCCAGCTGGGACCACCTGGCGGCATTGCGTCTGCGCGCGCCACGAAGCCTCACTGGGCCTCCTCCTCGATCCTCGGGGTCCTGGTAGTTATCTCGGGGTCAGGGTGGGCTCCAGGGGGAAGGGTTCATCGACCCTCAGTCGCACGTGGTCCGCCGATGGGGGCCCGAGAACCCCCCTCGCCCGGGACAGCTCGGATTCTCCATCGGGGGCACATCCAATTCGCGATGCATTGCTGACTCTGGCTCGATGTTTCCCCCCCGAGCCGGTCTTCCACACCATTTGGCCTCCCCCCCCGAGCCAGGATCTGTACGATGGAGTGTCTGGGAAGAGCGGGGACGTCAAGACCGACAGCAGCTCTTGCCCAGTCTGGGCACGGCTCGCTGTCGGTGTCGCAGTGGACATCGCCCACTGCCAGCTCATCAACAGTGGCCGCTGCTGGTTTTGGAGAGCATTTGCTGACTTGTCGTGCCCGTCTCGGGCATGCAAGCAAACCGGAGGGTGTCCGCGGTTCGGTCGGTCTGGCTGCGTCGCGGCCCGTTCGGCTCGGTCGGTTGGCATCTTTGTCTTTCCGGTCCGTTCTCGAGTGCTGCTACCGTGGACCGTTGCGTGAGCCCATCCGGCCGCCGAGTGGGCAGCCGAGCGGGCCGAACGCCTCGGACGCCGAAGAGACGAAGGGGCAGAAGTGGACCCCGGTTGGGGTGGGGGCAGGGCGGAAGTCGCCACGACGAGCAGAGTCCCGGAGAAATAGTGGAGAGGAGGAGGAGGAGGAGGAGGAGGAGGAGGAGGAGGATGAGGATGAGGATGAGAGAGGGGGAGGAGAAGGGGTGGAGGAGAAGGAAGGATAGGAGGAGAGGGGAGGAGGAGGAGAGGAGGAGGAGGAGGAGGAGGAGGAGGAGGGGGAGGACGGCGTTCGAGAGTTTTCTGCAGTTTTCTTCGAGCCTCCGAGGCTCGCTCTTCGGCACAGCCGTCGATAGCCGCGACTCCGGGTCCCAGGGCCCCAGGGTCTAAGACTCGTTGGCGTCAGGAGACCTTTCTCTCATGCCCTCCTCCCTCTCTCTCATGCCCTCCTCCCTCTCTTCCTCCCCCTCCTCCTCATCCTCCTCCTCCTCATCCGCCTCCCTTACTCCTCTCCTCCTCCCTTCCTCCTCCTCCTCTCCTCCTCCTCCTCCTCCTCCCCTCCTCCTCCTCCTCCTCCCCTCTCCCCTCTCCCTCTCCCTCCTCCTTCTCCTCCTCCCCCTCCTCCTCCGTTCTCGCCCTCCTCCTCCTCCTGCTCGTCCTCCCCCGTCCTCCTCCTCCTCCTCCTCCTCCTCCTCCTCCTCCTCCTCGCTCATCCCTTTCCTACTCTCCTCCTCCTCCTCCTCTCCTCCTCACCCCTCCTCCTCTCTCCTCCTCCTCTCCTCCTCCTCACCCTCCTCCTCCTCCTCCTCCTCCTCCTCCTCCTCCTCCTCCTCGCTCTCCTCCTCCTCCTCCCCCTCCTCTTCCTCCTTAGGGAGAAATAATGATGAAGGATACGATCACACACTGCGGCTGGCACGCGGCACTTTAGTAGTGGGGTGCCCTTCTGTTCATCGTGCTCTTGCCCTCCACCTCGGACAGTTCTTTGACTTAGGGGAGGAAGAGAATAGAGGAGGGGAGAGGAGATGGAAGCAAAAAAAAAAAAAGAGATAAAGGAAGAGGGGGAGAGGAGGACGACAAGAGAGCAGCAGGAGGAGGAGGAGACGACGACGACGCGCGGCGCGGTCCCCGGCGGGGCCCTCCGAGGAGCTGCTGGACCAGATGGTGCAGAGGTGTGTGGGCACCAGGCTGCCTCGCCGGCGATGTCGACGACACCGACGACACGTCGGGGGCAGGAGAGGCGGCAGCACCACCGCGACCACCGGCGGGGTCACCTCCGGCGCGGGGTGATGTTGGTGGATGTGTTGCCTCTTCTTGTCCCTAGACTTCAGTCGGGCATGTCCTTCTACAGGGGGAATATTCAAAAATAGTAAAAAAATAGTCAGGGGACGAGGTCCGACTATTTTTGACATTGTTTCGTTATTATTTTATTGTTTTCGTTCAATATCCGCCTGTAGGGGGACGCCCGACCTAACCCTAGACGTGGAGGTTTTACGTTTCGAGGCCTCCCCGATGGGGTCCGAGTAGAAGGGGTCGGAGGATCGCGCCGCAATCCGATGCATCGACGATGCCGTTCGATGTGGAGCCCGTGTTTCCCCGCGCCGACGTCGCCGATGCATCGCCGACGTCGCCGATGCATCGCCAATGCATCGTCGATGTATCGGTGATGCATCGGCGATGCGGCATGATCCTCCGACCCCATCTACTCCAACTCCACCTAGGACGCCTCTAGTGGTGCCTTTCCTCGTTCCTAGACGTGGAGGTTTTAGGTTGCAGTCCCTCGGAGGTCAATCTGGCCTTATCTGGCTCAGTTCTGCTCAATCTGGTGTCAAACTCCAAGTTTGGCACCCTCTGGCTGCACGGACTCCTAATCGGGCTCATCCTTCGTCGTTTCCACGAATTGCTCCTAGGAGTTGTCCCTCTCAAGAGGGGCCACGGGGGGGCGGGCCAGACATCTTCGTTGGGCGTTCAGGGACAATTGGATCCTTTCCCGAGCTTTCTGGTCGGGCGTTGCGTAAGGCGGGGTGCGGTAAAATAGGGGTGGAGAAAGGTGAACCTTTCGTGCACTTTCGGGGCCCTCTGGAGCCGAAAACGGGCACTCGTTTTTTCGCCCCCCCCCCCCCTCTACACCTGTCGCCCCCCCTCTCCCTCAAGCAACCCCCAGACTGGACCGGGGCAGAGGAAGGCAAGGGACGGGGGGAGGAGCGGGGTGACGGGGAGAGGGAGGGACAGATGGAGACAGGAAGGGAGAGGACCAGGGTGACGGGGAGGACTGGAGACAGGGAGTGAGGAGCAGGGTGAGGAGCAGAGAGACAGGAAGGGAGAGGGAGGGAGAGAGGGGGAGGAGCAGGGTGACGGGGAGGGGGAGGAGGCTGCGGAGCGCCGAGGCTTTTGTGGGCCACGCCAGGCAGAAGGCGTGGGCTGGGCCAGGCAAGCTTGAGGTATGGGCGTGTGGCAGAAGGTGCAGTGTACGCGAGCCAGAAGGGCGACTGTACAGTTCAGTGCGCAAGACGTGAATCAGACGTTTTCTGTTGCAAGCGTTTATTCCAATCAGTGGGTTCTTGTCCCCTCGGTGTGCGTGCCGCGCGGTACAATCCATCGGGAGCGCCATGTGTGGTACAACTATGTGGTGCAGTTCTTTCTGGCAACTCGTGAGTTGTCAACTCCGCGGCTCGCGCGATTATCACACCCATGCGGCCACGATTGCGGTTGTCCATTGGCACTTGTTAGCGCGTCTCTACGGCCGCGCTGGCGCGCGAACGTTCGAGAGCAGGGCGACCAGCAGGTTTGGCACAGCTGATGCGGTCGCGATTACGCTTGCCGATGGACATTTCTGGGCGCGTCAAAGCGCTGCTCTTGCGCGCGGCCACTTCACTATGGGTCGGTGATTCGGGCGGTCGCGGCAGCGGCGACAAATGTGAACATAGTAGCGATGGTGGTGGTGACGATATCGATGAGGACGGCAAGGCCCATGACGGCGCCGATGCTGGTGACGATGGTTACGATGATGATGTCCATGTGTCGGTGATGAAAGTAATGGTGTTGACGATGGCGGCGCTGCTAGCGATTGACGATACCGATGACGACGGCGATGCGATGGCGCTGGTGAGGGTGACGGCGAACAAGTGTGCGCGTTCGGACATTCGCGAATTCGGGCGCATTTTCAGTTGAAACACTGGCGGCTCGTCTCCTGCCTTTGAGTTCTCTATTCCGGATTACGTCGGCATGAGGCATGGGACATATTTCGACACGCGGGCGTGGCGGCGCATGCTGGATTCACGCGGATGCGCAGCGATGTGAATGATTTTGCGGCTTCTTGGCAGGAAATTGAGCGCTGAGATGACATCTGAAAGTTTTGTGATGAAAAAGCATGTTGTTTTGCTGAAGTGGTTGCAGCAGTAATGCGTTTGTCCTGATTTAAACACGTGCGCGCGCGTGTGAGCGTTTACTTCTTCATCATATCATTGCACCACTTTTCGGGAACTTCAACATACACATTACCAGTGGCGGGCTGTTTTTCAGTTCCGGAACTTTTTGAGAGTCGGGGCCGACGTGTGGTGTATACTAATTTCCTTGTTTTCCCGTGGAAAGCGAAACATGTACACCAGGATCCCGTATACAACAGAATCCGTTTTCTTGTGGCGAATTTCAGTGCGGGGCTGTAGACAACGTCGGTGTATAGAGTCCAGTCCTGCATTTTTCTCTAGATAAACGGGCACGCGCGAATTTTAAATTTGATGGGGACTCAGAGAGGGGGGAGGATTGGCCTTGCAATGTGCAGTGTCCTGGGGGGCATCTTCTTGTGAACGGAGGATCAATCATGACGCCGTTAGTTATATTGTTCGAGCAAGCATCTCAACCACCCGCCCGAAATGTCTTGGCAACCGCCAATTCGCTCAGTAATGCGATGACGCAGTATCATGCAGATCCGTTGCTCGGGAGGCGAGTGATGTTAGTGATGACGACGTCGGCGCCGACGAGGGTGATGATTACGGTGCTGGTGGTCTGAAGAGGAAGACGACAACAACGATGACGATGACAATGTTGATGACGCTCACATACGTTGACGATGACGACGACGAAACTTATGTTGATGATGATGTTGATGATGATGACGATGATGCTGACGATGGCGATGACGATGACGATGATCATGATGATGATGATGATGATGATGATGATGATGATGATGATGGTGATGATGATGATGATGATGATGATGATGATGATGATGATGATGATGATGATGCTAATGATAATGATTATTGTGGTGGTGATGGTTGTGGTGGTGGTGGCGATGGTAATAATGATGGTGGTGCGCTCTCGCCGCACATGACAGTGTCGTGTGGGACTCAAACAAAGCATGGATTTATTCTAGGGACTTATCCTGATTTGTTCGAACAGTCGAACATGATCCACACATTGCCTGATCACGTGAACCAATCTTCTGAGGTTGAAGGGGCTGCTCCAGTTGCCAGCGCCAGAGGGCAATGGAGTAGGCCGGGGAGGATAGAAGAGTGGGACGAGGCGGCCAGGCAAAGAGGCGATAGAGTGGAAACCGATGCCAGGAAACACCCTGCTTGCCCCCAGGGTGCCCTGGGTTTCCAGGGTTTCGATGGTTTGCTACGGAAAGCGTGACGTTCCCACACCAAAGTCAATGGACATCTTGGGGTTTCAATGTTGGAGTTCTTGTGGACGGTTTCTTGTGGTCGGGCTCCTGATGTATGAGGAGAAGGCGGGAAGAGGGAGGAATGAAGAGGACGAAGGAGGAAGGATGAGGAGGAAAGATAGTGGAGGGAGGAGGACTGACGAAAGAGGGATGTCATCCCGCAGCGGGGGCGAGGGCGGCAGCATGTGCCCCCCCCCCCCCTCGCGGCGGCAGGCTGGACGGTCTCAAGGCGGAGGTCGACGAGCTGAGGTGCAGAGTGAGCCAGGAGGTGCTCAAGGTCGCCGACGAGTGCAAGGATTCCTCTTCCTCCTCCCGCTCCTCCTCCTCCCTCGTACCCATCCTCTCCTACCTCGCCCTCGCCCTCGCCCTCGTCCTCCATTCTGCCACCTTCTCCTCACCCTCCTCGTCGGCGTCGTCCTCCCCCTCCTCCCACCTCGTCCGTACTGGATTCTTTCCGTGCGTTCGAAACGCATGTTGTCTCTTCAGGTATTTGTCGTGGTCCCTCCTCTTTCCCTGCCCCATCTGCCTTCTCGTCCTAGGACTCCCTCCTACGTCCGAAGTCTTAAGCACCTCACTCCAACGCACAACCTCGATCTTCCCGCGAAGAGGTCCCTGGGACTCCCCGTGGCAGGTGGGAGCTCCCTGATGCGGACCGAGCGCCGGCCGTGTTGCCGACGCCTTGCTCGGGGCTTGGCCCCGACCACCTTCCCGATAAGGAACTGAGCACTCCAGCGTGAACTGGTAGGAGGAGGAGGAGGAGGAGGAGGAGGAGGAGGAGGAGGAGGAGGAGGAAGCGGAGGGGCGGAGGAGGGGGCGGAGGAGGAGGAGGAGGAGGAGTAGGGGGAGAGCAGAGGAGGAGGGAGAGGAGAGGAGGAGGAGGAGGAGGAGGAGGAGGAGGAGGAGGAGGAGGAGGAGGAGGAGGAGGAGGAGGAGGAGGAGGAGGAGGAGGAGGAGGAGGAGAGGGGGAGGAGGAGGAGGATTTGTTTGAGCAGCCTCTGTCTTTTTTGCCCGACCATTTTCTTTTTTCTCGGCGCTCGAAGGACGACGCCTTCGCGATGTCGCAGCTGACGCACAAGCGCCTGGAGGAGACCGCCTCTCGCGAGATCATCTCGAGATCACCCTCCCCTAAGCCAGACACTTTTTGAGGATGGAGCTTCGGGGAAGGTTTCGGTTTTCTGGAGGGGGGGGGGGAGTATGGACGAGGAGGATGGATTGGGCGGAGGGGCGAGCACGAAACGAGGAAGAGGATGAGGAGTGGGGATGGGAAGAGGCTGGTGATGCCACGCCCAACACGTCCACCGGGACGGCGGCAAGGAGACGACGACCGCTCCCACAACCACCCCCCAGGCAACCCCCTGCTCGTTTCTTTCGGGAGTTGTTTGCCCCCCGACCTCTCGACGCTTTCCAGGTATATGCTGTTCGATTTCTTTTCCTTGAGCGGCCTCGCTCCCCTTCCACCTCCTCTTTCGGCCGCTTCCTCTGCCCTGTCCCCCCCTCCTGCATGGTGGCACACTTCGCTACAACGGAAACCCCCGTGTAGGCAGCTCTTCGCCAGCGCAGTTTTTCCTGCCTGGCCGCCGACGCAAAAAGTGCGGCGGCGCTCGCGTTTGGACGCCTCATGTTGAGCCATGCTGCCGCACCGATGTTCTCCCTCAGCCAGTAATCGGAGGCCTGGAGGGTGATACCGACAATATCGGCGGTGAGCCTCCACCGAGGGAAGACGATCCCGATCTCGGTGAGGGTGGTAAGATTCTGGCTTCCGAGGTGGCCGACATATCACCACCAACACCGAAGTCTAGGGTCGTCCTCCCCCCGTGGAGGCCCCCCCCCCCCCGCGCCTCGCCTCGAAAACAGCTCCTCCTCCTCCTCCTCCTCCTCCTCCTCATGTTCCCCTCCTCCTCCTCCTCCTCTTCCTCCTCCTCTTCCTCCTCCTCCTCCTCCTGCTCCTCCCCCTGTGGAGGCAACACCGAAGTCCAGGGTCGTCCACCCCCTGTGGAGGCACCCCCCCTGTCTTGGTGTCGGTGCCCATTCCGAGGCCTCCAGAATGGCAGCCCCAGTGGCTTCGCACCCGTGCTGGGCCTCGCTGCTCGCGCCGCCGAGCTTCTGGCTGGCCACGGGTAGGGGGAGGAGGAGGGGGAGGAGAATGAGAGGAGGAGGAGGAAGGAGGAGAAGGAGGGGGAGGAGAGGAGGGCGGACGGAGGAGGGGGAGGAGGAGAGGAGGAGGAGGAGGAGGAGGAGGAGAAGGAGGAGGATAAGAGCAACGCCCGCGGCAGCAGGGCAAGACCCTCCCCCCCCAGAGGACGAGCTCCTCTCCTCCCGAGCAGGTCTCTGGCGGCCCCCCTTCGGGTCGAGGCCTGCCCTCCGCGGGGCGGCGCACGGGGCAGGCCTGGCCGCATGGCAGGCGGGGAAGGCCTCGGACAGGGCCGTACAGCGGAGACCCAGTCCTTTCCCTTCCTCCTCCTCCTCAATCGTCCTCCTCCTCCTTCCTCCTCCTCCTCCTCCTCCTCCTCCTCCTCCTCCTCCTCCTCCTCCTCCCCCCTCCTCCTCCTCCTCCCTCCTGCTCCCTAGGCCTTCTCCTCCTCCTCCTCCTCCCTTCCTCCTCCTCCCCTCCTCCCACTCTCCCCCTCCGCCTCCTCCTCCTCCTTCCTCCTCCTCCTCCTCCTCCTCCTCCTCCTCCTCCTCTCCTCCTCTCGCCTTCTCCCCTCCTCCTCCTCCCTCCGCCCTCCCCCCTCCTCCCTCCTCCTCCTCCTTCCTCCTCTCCTCCTCCCTCCTCCTCCTCCACTCCCCCCCCCCCTCCCCCCTCCTCCCTCCTCTCCCTCCTCTCCCACTACCTCCCCCTCCCCTCCTCCTCCTCCTTCTCCTCCTCCCTCCCTCTCCTCTCCCCTCCTCTCCCTCCTCCCTCCTCCCTCCTTCCCTCCTCTCCTCCCTCCTCCTCCTCCTCCTCCTCCTCCTCCTTCTCCTCCTGCTCCTCCTCCTCCTCCCCCTCCCCCTCCCCAGGCCTTCGGGTGCAACTCTGGGGAGGTCAAATTCTGACTGTGCCCTGGTTCGAAATCCAGCCTAATCTTGTTCAGTCTGGCCTCATCCCGCTTAATGCGGTATAAATCCCAAGTGAATCCGCGACCTGATCTTGCGTGACTGTCCCCCAATGGGGCTTAATAGTTCTTCATCCTTCCGACGACCTCCCAGCAGTTGCCTCCTAACCTGCTTGCCTCCAAAGTGCCCTGGGTTTCTTGGGCGTCGATGGTCTTGCTATGGCACGCGTGACATCCACACGCCAAAAAAATCTTGGACGTCGTCCTGGGGTCTAAGGGTTGGGTTTCCTGTGAGAGGTCTCTTGTGGTCGGGCTGGTACTGAAAAGGTTTTCCACTGTGACTCCGTGCGCTCTGCAAGCCGCGCGCAGAGGTGCGGTGCGGAGGTCATCGCGCTTTGCGGGTCCCGGCCTGGACCGAAGCAGCTGCCCTTCTCTCCAGATGGCGGTGGGGGCAGCTCAAGGGCGCAAGGGCGCGGAGACAGCCGTGCGTCACGCGTTGCGAGGTGCGACGGGCGCAGTTAGGTGACTCCAGAGCCTCGCAGTGATCGAGGGGCGGTATAGTGAGGAGGGGAGAAGAACGGAGAAGGAGTGAGGAGGAGGGAGGAGGAGGAGGAGGAGGGGGAGGAGGAGGAGGAGGAGGAGGAGGAGGAGGAGGTAATTTCGAGTGAGGAGGATGATCTGCAGGAGGTGGAGAGGGAGGAGGAGCAGGAGCGGGAGCTGGCGGAGGCGGAACAGGGAGAAGAGGGACGGACAATGAGGAGGAGGAAGGAGGAGAAGGGGGGGAGGGCGCGGCGGAGGAGTCGGAGGGAGAACGAGGGGGAGTACAGTGGAGACCCATGCCAAGAACCACCCTGCTTGCCCCCAGGGTACCCTGGGTTTCTTGGGTTTCGAGGTTTTTTGTTATGGAATGCGTGACGTTCCCACACCAAAAACCGATGGACGTCCTGGGGTCTCAGGGTCGGGCCTCTTGTGGAAGGTTTCTGAAGGTCTGGCCCCTGCTGTCGGAGGCGAGGAATCCCAAGTGCCCCTCGCACCTCGCGCAACGGGTGTTCGCGGCTTGGTCGGCCCGGCTGCGTCGCAGTCGGCGCGCTTTCGGCCGGCTCACCTCGGGCGGCGGAGGCCGAACGAGGGGGAGTGGGAGGCGAGGAACCCCAGGTGCTCCTCGCACCTCGCGCACGGGCGTCCGCGGCTCGGTCGGCCCGGCTGCGTCGCAGTCGGCGCGCCTTCGGCCGGCTCACCTTGTGGGCGGCTGCCGTGCCGCTGCCGCGCTGCGGCGCCCGTCTGCGCTTCTCTTTGCAGCCGGTCGGCTGCGGCCGGGGCCAGCCAGAGTTGGGCGCGGCGCTCCGGCTTGAATCCGCTGCGGGAGGATTCGCCGGCGATCCGAGCCGTATCCGATGCGATCGGATTCTGCGGTTCGTCGGCGGCGAGCGAGAGGGGCAAGTGAGAAGGGGCGGGCCTTCTAAGAAGGCTCGGTAGGCCCCAGGCCTTCTGAGAGAAGTCTTCTGAACCTTCCCCGAAGGCGCAGCAAGCTTCTCAGAAGGCGCATGGGCTTCTGAGAAGTCCCGCCGCCTTTTGAGAAGGCCGTCTCTTCTCACTTCTCCCCCTCGCTCGCCGCCGAGTTCGATCTAGCCCAGGCATATCCGGTCTGTCGATGTGGCCTCGGCTTCGTTGCCGCCGTGGGCGGCTCTTGGGCCCGAGGGCCCCCCAGAGTCCTCGTCGGGAGCACCTGCCGCAGTGAGGCAGCGTCGTTCCCCATCTTACGAGGAAAATCCTGGAGGCTTCGCGCGGCGTGCAATAGTAGTATGATCTAGTCCACACGTCAGCTCCGTAAGCTGTGGGTCGACGCTCGCGCGGCGATGCTCCAGAGTCAGTCCGACGCAAATCCGACGTAGTTCCGACGTAGCTAGGCGTGAACCCGACGTACACCCGACGGAGAGCCGACGTAACCCGGGTCTCAAGTTGCCGCGCGAGGCCTCCTTAGGATTGTTCTCATCACCCCCCCACCCACCCGGCCACGGCATCTCGGCCTCGCCATCTCACCGCCCCCGCTGGGGATAGGTCCCTCGAAGCCCGAGGGGAGCAGCCTGTGTCCCCATTTTTCCCAACCATCCTGTGGTGTTGGGTCCTCGTTTTGAAGAAACGGTCCCCGCGTCTCCTCCTCTCCTCTTCCTTCCCCCCCTCCCCCCGTAATCATCATCGTCATCGTCACGTCATCGTCATCGTCATCATCATCATCGTCTTCATCATCGTCACCATCATCGCCATCAGCTTCGGCACGCCCCTCACACGTTTCGTGGCCCCATAGGGAGTTCCACCGAAGGCCCCAGTGCCGCCGCCCGCATGCGTCCCGCACACCCAATTCGGCACACCCCTTACACGTTTCGTGGCCCCATAGGGAGCTCCATCGAAGTCCCCAGTGCCGCCGCCCGCGTGCGTCCCGCACACCCAATTCGGCACACCCCTCAGACGCTTCGTGGCTTCATAGGGAGCTCCATCGAAGTCCCCAGTGCCGCCGCCCGCATGCGTCCCGCACACCCAATTCGGCACACCCCTCACACGTTTCGTGGCCCCATAAGGAGCTCCACCGAAGGCCCCAGTGCCGCCGCCCACATGCGTCCCGCACACCCAATCCGGCACACCCCTCACACGTTTCGTGGCCCCATAGGGAGCTCCACCGAAGGCCCCAGTGCCGCCGCTCGCAGGCGTCCCGCACGCCCAATTCGGCACACCCCTCATACGTTTCGTGGCTTCATAGGGAGCTTTACCGAAGGCTTCAGTGCCGCCGCCCGCATGCGTGCCGCACACCCAATTCGGCACACCCCTCACACGTTTCGTGGTCTCATAGGGAGCTCCACCGAAGGCCTCAGTGCCGCCGCCCGCATGCGTCCCGCACACCCAATTCTACACACCTCTCGGTTTCGTGGCCCCATAGGGAGCTCCACCGAAGGCCCCAGTGCCGCCGCCCGCATGCGTCCCGCACACCCAATCCGGCACACCCCTCACACGTTTCGTGGCCCCATAGGGAGCTCCACCGAAGGCCTCAGTGCCGCCGCCCGCATGCGTCCCCACACCCAATTCGGCACACCCCTCACACGTTTCGTGGCCCCATAGGGAGCTCAACCGAAGGCCCCAGTGCAGCCGCCCGCATGCGTCCCGCACAACCCAATTCGGCACACCCCTCAAACGTTTCGTGGCCCCATATGGGGCTTCACCGAAGGCCTCAGTGCCGCCGTCCGCATGCGTCCCGCACACCGAATTCGGCACACCCCTCACACGTTTCGTGGCCCCATAAGGAGCTCCACCGAAGGCCCCAGTTCGCCGCCCGCATGCGTCCCGCACACCCCATTCGGCACACCCCTCACACGTTTCGTGGCCCCATAGGGAGCTCCACCGAAGGCCCCAGTGCCGCCGCTCGCATGCGTCCCGCACACCGAATTCGGCATACCGCCGCCCGCATGCTTCCCGCACGCCTACTTCGGCACACCCCTCACACGTTTCGTGGCCTCATATGGAGCTCCACCGAAGTCTTCAGTGGCGACGCTCACATGCGCATGCGTCGCCCACAACCAATTCGACACACCCCTCACACGTTTCGTGGCCCCATAGGGAGCTTCACCGAAGGCCCCAGTGGCCGCGCTCACATGCGTCCCCACCACCCATCCCGGTACGTCCCTCACAGGTTTCGTGGCCCTATAGAGAGCTCAACCGAAGCCCCCAGTGGCACCGCCCGCATGCGCCACCCGCACGCAATTCGGCACACCCCTCACACGTTTCGTGGCCCCAGGGAGCTGCACCGAAGGCCCCAGTGGCGGCGCTCACATGCGTCCCCGCCACACATCCCGGTACACTCCTCACACGCTTGGTGGCCCCATATGGAGCTCCACCGAAGGCCCCAGTGGCGGCACTTACATGCGTCTCCGCCACCCATCCCGGCCCCCCCCCGCATGTTTCGGGGCCCCATATGGAGCTCCCCTGGAGGCCCCAGTAGTGGCCCGCACATGCGCTTCTGCCACCCATGTCGGCACACCCCGCACGTGTTTCATGGCCCCATAGGGAGCTTTACCGAAAGTCCCAGTGGCACCCATCTCGGCTCACCCCTCACACGTTCCGTGGTCCTATGGGGAGTTCCACTGAAGATGAAACCCACAGCTGCGGTACTCACAACTGCATATGGTTGGGTTCTCGCCAGGCTAATTTTTGTTGGGGGGGGGGGGCGTCGGCCAGTGGGCCCCAGGGCACGCCAGTGGGTATCGGGATCTGTTAGACGATGCTCAGAGGTCTCCCATAAGCCTTTACAGACATCATATACGCACATATATATATATGTATGTATGTGTACATGTGTGTATCTATGATTATATATGTGGTTATGTATATAGATGTTTGTATATGAACATATTTAGATCAAGAGACAACAACACCGCGACAGCGCAGAGGACCTCGGCGCCGTGGCGCTGGAGGCCCGCGCGGCCGCGCAGGCCGCGGCCGCGGACGCCTCCGCGTGCTGGGCGCTCGCGGAGCAGGCGCCCCGCTCCGTGGGGCCGGTCGCCGCCGCTGCCGCCCCCGGCCGCTGCCATGCGTCGTCGGCGCCCCCGTGGCTGCCGCCGCGCAGTGGGCGGGTGATGCGGAAGCATCTCTTCACCCCCCCCAAGGTATAGCCAGGTGTCTCTTCATGCCCGGCGGATGTGGAAGCATTTCTGCATCCCCCCAAAGAAGCATTTCTGCATCCCCCAGTGGCGGCGGGTATAGCCAGGACCCCGGGTAAGGGGACCCGGTTAGTGGTAGGGCCCTGGGGCCCCTCAATGGGCCGGTTTCGCTAAACCATGCAGGTTTGCCGTGACTGGTGTTTTTTGGGTGGCGGCAGTTCCGGTGAGTGGAAATGGGACGGAGGGGCGCCCCCGGTACAAATCACTAAACCAGGTTCCACTAAACCCAGTTCTGCCAACGCCCGACCAAAGCCCAAATGTATCCGTATCCATCGGTCGTTGAGAGTAGGTATTTCTGGAGTCCCAGATCCGAATCTGCTTTGGGCGCCTTCCCACTTCAATGATCGAGTGGCTTCCCCTTTTCCGCCCTCCTTCGGGGGGCGCCTTCCTACGTCATGTTTCTACCTACTCTTTCCGGCCGATGGGTATATCAATATCCACCGCCTGCCGAGGGTCCCCGAAGATCGGCCCCCGAGGTCGTGGTCATGGACTAGCCCCCGCCTCGCATCGGCCGCGGGAGCTCGCCGCCGGCGCCTGTCGCCGCCCTTCGCCGCCGATCGAGGGTCGAGGATCGCCCACGGCCGCCGCTGGTCGGTCGTCTTCGCCGCCGCCCCCCGTCGCCGCCGCTCGGGCGGGGGCAGGACAGGGATCGGCGGCGAAGTCCGAAGCCCAACCTCGACGATCAACGACTCCGGCAATTCGAGGGGCGGCGGGGGGCAGTGCTCGGAAAGCGGCGAGCACGCGCCGAAGTCCGAGCCCCACCCCCGCCTCCCGTCGGCTTCGGACAGTCGATGGTTGGTGGGGGTACAGTCGGGGCGCTGAAGAAGGAACCCTTCTCGTTGGGGAGGGGCTCGGCGTTCCTGGGTTGTTTCACAGTTTGCCTCGGGTTTTCCCGAGGCTTCCATGGGAAGTCGAGGGTGAACGTATGGGAAAAAGGGGCCTCGTTCCTCATTCAGGGTTCCTCAGGTCAACGCCTCGACTGTAGGGCTCGCATGTCGCCGCCTGCCCCGTCGCTGTCTTGCGTCGTCGGCGCTGCCCTTCGCCGCCCGCCGCTGCCCTTTTGCCGCCAGTCGATCGAGGGTCGAGGATCTTCCACGGTCGCCGCCGTCGTCGCCGCCCCCCCGTCGTTGTCGTTTGGTCAACGTCGGGGGGGGGGGGGTTGCTCAGGGGGGATGCGACGACCCCCAATCGCCCACGGATTGCCCGTGCGGTTCCGAGCGGCACAGTCAACCCGCACAGTCAGCATGGGCAGCCTTCCCAAGGGTACTCTTGCATCCTTGCCCCTTTGGCCCATATTCAACGACCTTCGCTGGCCAGCCTCCTTCGGAAAAACGTTCACATGGGCCTCCCAGGCCCTTGCATCCTTGCCGCGCATGCTTATGTGATATACGGGTACACTGTATCCGTACCTTTTTGGTCCTCCAGTCCGGGCGGGGCCAGGACTGGAATCACTCTTTCCCTGTGAAGATGTCGCAGGCCATATCGGTGGCGGCGCCCGCATCTCTCTGCCTCTAAGCTCACTGTGCGCTTCCCTGCAAGCGCACGCGTCTCTTGGCGGCGTCCCGACTCCTAGTGCGGACTCTGTCCCCCAGGGGGTGGGCACATGCAGATACGCTCTCCGGCGCACTCATCCCTTCCACATTCCCGAGTGTCCCCAAGGCGCTTTCAGAGCGTTCCGGGAGGACCGCGGCGCCCGGCACATCAGGACCGCAAGACCTCAGAGGTCCCCGATATGTCCTGGTCGGGATGCGTCTTGGTCCTCGGGGGAGGCAAAAGTACAGTGGGGGTCCATGCCAAGAAACAAATTGCTTGCCTTGAGGGCGCCTTGGGTTTCTTGGGTCTCGATGGTTTTGCTGTGGAAGCCGTGACGCTCCCACACGAAAAAAACGATGGACGTCCTTGGGTCTCAGGATTTGGTTTCTTGTGGGAGGTTTCTTGTGGACTGGCCTCCGCTGTACCCATGCCGCTTCCTTCCGCCCGATTCCCCTTTTGGGGGCCTCCCTCTTAAGCCCTCGTCGCCACCGCTGGATTCGCTTCGGGGGTCTGGTGAGCAGCGGTACTTATCGGTATTGTTGGGCTTCCCCAGGTCCTGCTTTCGTCTGCGTCGTCGTCGTCGTCGCCGACACGCCCCGCCGTCGCGCAGCCGCCGGCGCCGCCGCTGCCCGTCCTTGCCAATTTCGGAGGGTCGTCCGCGGCGGAGGGTGAAGGTTTGTGTGGTCTCGGTTGGCCTGTTCAGGGGCCTACTTCGATCCATCCCGAGATCTTTACATAACCTACAGGTGGTGGGGCATGTCTGCTCATGGGACGTTCTGTATTCGATGTTATATGATCATAACATCTCCCCATCAAGCCACGTACACAGTGACATGTGCATTACCCCCAGATTCACGGAACTATCACATAACAATGTTTTTGTTGACTTCTGCGGCAAAATTGTACGGGTGGAAATTTCCAGCATTTCACGCGAAAGTGTACCACCAATGTTTTCAGCCGTTATCCTCGCTGGCTTGTCACGCAGTCGAGAATATGGTGTTTCTTATTGGAAGCTGTCATGATTCAGTCTGTAATCTTTTCACACGCATGCACAGTGAGCAGTCACGCCGCGCCGTGTTCAGTAGGATTCTGGCAGTGGAGGACGAGTAGGAATCATGTGGCGTTGGGTGCTGACGGCAACTTTGTGCGTCGGAGGATGAGTGGGAGCGGGTGATGACAATGATGATGGCGAAAATGGGCGCAAGGAAGTTGGACGAGGATTGGGTGAATATCACCCGTAGGGGGACAGACGATGTGAATGTGGGGGCCAAGCGTGAAAATGATCGGGTTACAGCTGACTAAAGATGATTGAGTGGGGCAGGCGGTAATGATGATGATTCTGAGTCTTGAAGTGACGACGATGATGGTGATTGTGGCGACGTCCACCCATTCTGCCTACAGGAATGGGGGTTGAATAATGCCATAAGTGTTTCACACATGTGCTTCTCTGGACCATTCGCATGTAAACACATGCATTGCGAGGGGGACGCAGAATGCGGATGTGAATGGTAATGGTGGTGATGGTGATCGGAATGCAGATGATGACGATGAATGCGATTCGCATCATCATGGTGGTGGCGATGTTGGTGATGATGATGATGATGAGCACCTGGAGGAGGCGTGGCGAGGGGCGGAAGTGTGGACCCTCACTCGCTTGGGCCCCAGGGCAGTCAAGCGACAAATGGGGATGAGAAGTCGGCCCCTGGGGCAACAAAAAAACATTGTTTTTTTGTGTGCAGTCTAGGAGGTTCGGCGAGCGGAGTAAATTGCCTTTGGTTCTTTGGTTCCTTCTCCGCGTTCTCGTCTTTTGCCTTCACCCCATTCTCCCACCCTCTCTTCTTCTTCTCCTCCTCCTCCTCCTCGTCCCTCTCCTCTTCCTCCGTCTTCCTCCTCCATTCGTCCGTTTCATTTACCCCGCTGGTTGGAGTTCTTGGCGTAGTTTATTCAATCAACGTTGCAGGAATAAAGGCTAGTCCGAGTTAATTGGGTCGAGAGCTTCGGAGGTCAGGGGGTGACGGGCTCTAGAATCATCGGATGCCACCGTGGATGGATGGCTCCACCTTGCGATCACCCGGGTGTCAGAAGGGGCCAGACTTATGATGTGCCAACCTATTTTAGCCTTGATCGCCAGAAATAATTTCAAGCATCACGAAAGTACTGACGCTTGAGGGTTTTCACGTGTCAGGCCCGACGCGTGAAAACACTCGTGGAAGACGATCATCGTTCGACACTGCTTCGACACTTTTCTGGGCGTTCGAAACTACTTCTGGGAGGTGGTCCGTAAGTACGATGGGGGCAACATGAGGCCAGGCGCGTTCCAAGTTTTGAATCTTCGGTTCTCGACGTCGATCTCGACGACGACGACGGAGTTGAACAGTCTACCAGGTGCGGCCACAGAGGCAGTCCACCGCATGCCCAGAGCCGCTCGGCAGCACCATGAACTTCGGGTCCTGGTCCAGCACCGCGGGCCAGAGCCAGGACGCCGGCTCGCGCCGCCTCATCTTGCTCGTCCTCCCCCCCTCCTCTCCGACTGGCAATTCTAATCCTCCTGCTCCTTTCCCCTTCCTGCTCCTCTGCTCTTCACGCCCCTCCTCTGTCCCTCCCCCCTCCTCATCCTGCCCCGTCCATCGTACTGCGGCCTCACGGTTCCATCCCCTTAGGGGCTCGGGCACGCCCACGTGCCCGCCGTCTCCCTTTTCCTCTTGCGGATATCGTTTTTGGTTTGGAGCCTCGGCTGCATGCCCGCGTTCGAAGCAATGCGTTTCTGATGCCATTTTGATGGTTTGCCAACGCAACCTCTCGTCAGTGTTGGGGCCGATGCGCTGTGGGGGCGCTATGTGCGTCGTTCGATTGTGTGTTTCGTAGTCACCCGTCGCCGTCGGCCTCTTCCTCGTAGCCGTCAGCGCCCCCCTGCGTCGTGGGCATCGCTGTCGTGCCTCCCTCGTCGTCGAAAGCGTCGCTTTCGTTGTCGTCGTCGGCGCGTCACTCGAGGGACGATCGTCGTCGCCGCCGTCGTCGACGTCCTCGCGAACCTCTTCCTACAGTGCCGTTTTTTTTATACAGGCTCCGCGTGCGGATCATGTAGTAATCATGCAGGGATTTAGTATTAAAGACAACGATGAGTTCATGCATAAATTTATCCCTACATCAATCATGCATTAAACATCCAATGTGTTTAAAGATCCGATGTATTAAAAGTTGCCCTGTACATTATGTGCCGTCCAGCGCGCTCCATGCATGAATTCATTCATAAATTAATCATGTACTAAAAGTCCTTTATGTTTACACATCCCATGTGTTAACAACTGCCCTGTACAACCTGTGGCGTCCAGGGGCGCGCTCGGGCCAGCCTCTCCGGGCGGAGCCCGCCGTGGCCTCGAGGCGAGGGCGCCCCGGCAGGCCCGGTAAAGCCTCGCTCCCGCCGCCGACGTCGACACGTCGCCGCCGTCGTCGTCCCCGCCGCCGCCGCCGCCCCGCGCGATGCCTTGGCGGTGAGCTTAATTTTAAGTCGGGCCCGTCCCCCTACAGGGGGGTTTTCGACGAAAAATGAAGAATACCCCAAACATAGTCAAAATATAATCCAAGAGTAGTCTGGCGACTATTTTTGGAGTATTTTCTGACCTTTATGGAGTATTTATCGTCGAAAATCCCCCTGGAGGGGGACAGGCCCGACTTAAGCTTAATTCTAAGAAGTAAAAACGGCATCACTACAAACTTTTGGCGCTCCTCGCGAATTCCTCGGACCCGCGCTGGCCCCCCTGGTGGCGCACCTCTGGTGCCGCCCCTGGTGCGCTCCGCGCGCCGGGGAGGGGTCCAGCGCAGATTCAAGAAGTCCGCGCGGAGCCAGAAGTTTTTTGTATTGCGGGTTGCCTCTTTCAGACCCCGAGGAGTTGAGTTGAAGTCGGCCGTGTCCTCGTACAGGAGGCAGGTTCAAGAATGGCCAGAAAGTAGTCTGGGGACGGTTTGCGTTGATTCTTTTCGGTTCTTTTCTAATATGTTGTGGCTCTTTTTCAGTTTTCCCTACCAAAATCCGCTGGTAGGAGGACTTCAGCAGGGAAAGAAACACACAGACACAATTAATCGTCGACTCCCAGAAAAGATGGGAGAATATGGGAAGTGGGGGGAAGACGAACACCCAAAAAATATGGGAAACTACGTGGAATCGTTTTATTTGCGTGTACTTCTGTGTGTGTCCCAGGGCCCCTTCAAACATGCCCGACCCAAAGTTGAGGGCCTCCCTCCTGCGCCTCCAGGAGGGCGCCGCGCGCCGCGGCGGCCCCGGGGCGGCCGGCGGCGGAGAGGGCCCCGAGCCAGGGAGCGCCAGGCGAGCTCCCGTCCTCGTCGTCGTCGTCGTCCTCGTCCTCGTCGTCGTCCTCGTCCTCGTCGTCGTCGTCGTCGTCCTCGTCGTCGTCCTCGTCGTCCTCTCGTCGTCCTCGTCCTCGTCCTCGCCGTCGTCCTCATCGTCCTCGTCGTCGTCGTCGGCGTCGTCGTCGTCGTCGTACGGTGAAGCCGGGCGTGTCCATCCAATTCGAAGGAGCAAGAACGCCATAAACATAAACTTTTGGCGCTCCGCGCGGATTTCTTGGATCGGCGCTTGGGCCCCCGCTGGCGGCGCCTCTGGCGCCGCCCCTGGCGCGCTCCGCGCGCCATGGAGGGGGGTCAGGCGCAGATCCAAGAAATCCGAGCGGAGCGCCAAAAGTTCATGTTTACGGCGTTTTCTCTTCTACTGCACGAGGAAGATACACCAGGTAGCCAAAAATCGTGTAGTGGCGATTGTTTTTTGTCGATTTGGTTTGATTGTTTGACTCCGGACATGTTCCCGAGGACATGCCTGACCTCGTAGTGCGGCAGGTTTGCGCCGCGTTGGCGTGGCTGCGGCCCTGACCCCCTCGCTCCAGGCCTACTTAGATGGGGTTCGAGAAGATGGTCGGGGCGATCGAAAGGGGTACGGAAATAACGGGTACGATGCCCGACAGCAGGTCTTTTTCATTTTGAACCAGACTCGCTGTTCGCGCCGCCGCGGACGTTGTTTTGAACACAAAGCCGCCTGCTCGACGCGGCTGCTGTCGGTTTTGAGCAACAAGGATTTGTTGTTGGGCTTTGTACCCTTTTTTCCGTACCTATAGGGTTGGAGGATCTCTTCGCATCGCCGTGGCATCGGCGATGCGGCTCGACGTGGGGACCGATTTCTCCACGCCGATGGAGCCGCTGCATCGCCGACGCCGTCGGTGCATCGTCGATGCATCGCCGAGGCATCGGCGATGCGGCGCCATCCTGCGACCCCATCTATTCCGACACCGTGCAGGAGGCCTCCAGTACGGCAGGTTTCCGCCGCGCTGGCGCGTCTGCAATTCCTGACCTCCTTGCGTCTTAAAGCGTGGGGGCCTCACTCGGTCCCAGGACTGTCAAACACTGAATCAGGATCAAAAGTTACCCTTGGTGTGTATGTGTGTGTCTAATTGTTGTGCTGCTCTAGATGCACGCTGTTAATACATGAGATGTGTGTTTTTATTGTTGATACTTGTTCATGCCTCGTGTCCTTTGGGCATGTCCGTCCGTAGAATCGTTGTTCGGTACGTGTGCCGGATGCTCTTCTCGATGTGTGTTGTTGATGGCTAACTTTGATGATGTGTGAAAAGGCACGCATGTGGGGCCGGGTGCGGGCTAAATGTGGAAGCGCACCATCGAGCCACGATGCCCTTCTTCTTTGCAGAGGGGGGTGGCTTCCGAAGCTGCCCCCTCTTTGAAGCTGTGGGGCCCTTACCCAAAAGCAGGAACCCACACTCCCGTCCCTCTTGACGCGGGGGGGTCCGCACGGGCTCCCTGGGGGGGGGGCCGCACCCCCCTCCCTCCGTTGTGAACGTGTGCGTGGGGGGGGGTCCCTCGCCAGAGGTTAGAGGGGGTGGGCTTCCGAAGCTCCCTCCCCCTCCTTTTGACGTCGAAGGTGAGCCCGGCGTCGCATTTTAAGCGGGGCTTCGCAAGTTCCCCCCCACACACACGCCCTTCGTGTGATGACTTTCCGTGTCATGTCTCCTGATGTCGCTGGCTCGGGCTGCCGGGCCTGCTGAGATCCACCCACACCTGCCTGGAGCTCGCTGCGAAGTTCCACGTGCAGGAGTGGACATCGATGTTTTGGAAACAGCGACGGGGGATGGCTGGAAAGATCGGCACTTGTACCCGCAGGAGGTAGAGTGCTCGACCGATGGGCTGGAAACCATGGCATCCCGTCGCAGCGGGCCGTTGGCCTGGCGGACAACGGAAGTCAAGAGGGGGAAAACAAAACAAGTAATCGTAGACCCCTAGGAAGGATGATACAATCTATGAAGTGGGGGGTAGACGAAAACCCAGAAGATATAGAAACATATGGTGGATCCTGGGACTTGTGCCGATTTATTCGTGTGTCCCTGGGTCCCTGCAGGGAGCGCTGGACAGACGAGTGAGCAGCCGCCGAGATTGCGCATACACGTTTCCCCCTGTTGCTGCAGGCCGGCGCTTCGCTGGAGAGGGCGGGGACCCCCGCTTCCTTTGTATGGGCCGTCCTCTTCAGAGTGCTGGCTGTTTCTTATTAGGCTTCGCGGGGACTCTTCCACGTCTGAGCGGTTCCCCCTTCCACCCCCATGGCGCGGCCACCCTCGTCTTTGTTCCTGCCTCTTGAACGCCGGACATTTCGCCTATCGTTTGCCCCGATGAGCCACACGCTGGAGCGGACTGCCTCTGCCTCTCCGCCGACGAAAAGAAAATCCTGTTCGACAGTTCTGTTGTTCGTGGCGCCTGGCATGTACTTGTATTGCTTTCCGGTATTGTGTGCGTTCCCGGCACGGGTTGAGCATTTCTCGAGTGGAACAGGATGGTCTCTGCCACGCGATAGGTACAGTAGGACCGACTGTCGCCTGCCTTTGTCCTTGCCCTTGCCTTGCCTGTTGTTCCTACATGCCCTTGCGCGTCCGTGTGCAGAGTGAATTTGGACATCATGCTTTCCGACTTTCTGAAATCCGTCGACGGAGGTACATTATGATGTGTCCCGTGGTTTTGTGTTGTTGCCACCTCGCGAGCGCAGCGGAACATGATGGGTTCGTTCCGTATCACTGGGACGTGACGGGCAGAGCCTGATATTGTTTTCTTCGCCCTCCCCTCGCTGCCATGTGACCCGACGAGTGCGCGGTGCGCCACTCGCAGCAGCGGCGCCAGCACCCTGAGCGCCTGAGGGTGCGCGGCGGATCTCGCAGAGCTGCGCTCGCTCTCGTTCCAGGGAGTGCTTGCGCCATCAGGCTTGCGGGCGGGCGGGCGGGCGGGCGAGCCAGGGGGCGCGCGGCTGGGCAGCGGCGCGAGCGGGCCAGCCTTGCGTTGTCATGTGGCGGGGGTGAATGTGCAGTTCTATAGACTGCCATGCAGAGCACTACTTGCTTCCGCTCGTTTGCGCTGCCACGTGGCGAGATGCGCTGACTCGCAGCTGGTTCCCACTTCCTGCGTTGCCACCTCGCGAGTTCAACAGAAACACACACACACACACACACACACATATATATATATATATATATATATATATCGCGCCCCCCGCCCCTCCCTCACAGGCGTTGCCACTTCAGGACCAGCGCAGAGTCCAATGTGCTTCCCGCGCCCCTGTTTTGCTCCGCCCCCCCCCCAATTGCGAGGCCACTTGGCTCGTAGAGCTGCTAGATTTTCGGGCCGGGCGAAAGGGGGGGATTGGGAAAGGGGGGGGTACGAAATTTGTTGCATGCAGCTGGTTTCGGCCTCACCGAGGGGCCCATTCCTCGATACATAGCCGCCTCCGGCGCCGGGAGGCGCCAGGAAAATCAGCTACGTGAGCTCATTCTCAAACCCCCCTTTGGCCCGACCCGAGATTTTCCGCTGCCCTGCGCCACCGTTTAGCATGCCATGGCACGTTCTCGCTCCCCGAGGGGTTGCCGCGCGAGCGTAGCAGAGTGCTACGTGCTCTCGCCACCCTGCGTTGCGCACGCGACGAGTGGAGCAGCATTGTATGTACAGTCGGGGCGCTGAAGAAGGAACCCTTTTCGATTCGATGGGGAGGGGCTTGGTGTTCCTTGATTGGTTTACAGTTTGCCCAGGGTTTTCCTGAGGTTTGTTTCATGGGAAACCGAAGTTTACCTTTTGGAAAAAGGGGCCTCGTTCTTTATTTAGGGTTCCTTAGGTCCACGCCCCGACTGTATGCGTCCCCGAGGTTACCCCCACCTTTTTGAAGCAGAACGTAAGCCGTGTCTTCCGTCCGCATAGTGGTGGGGTCCCTTCGGACGCTACCTTCCCTTCTGCCCCCCTGTCGAACTTCGCTATCTCTTCGGCGTTCGACGCCGTCGTCGTCCTTGTCGTCGTCCTTGTCGTCGTCGTCGTCGTCATCGTCTTCGCCACCGCCGATGTTGTCGTCGTCGTCATCCTCGCCGCCGATGGCGTCGCCGTCGGAGAGCACTCTTCGCTTTCTTGTCGCATGTGGCGAACGCAATAATCTTGTTCATTTCGCCTTCACGCGCCGCCAAGTCACGAGCAGAGCATACAAGTCGGGGTTACCCCCAACTGCGCTGCCATGTGGCGACTGCCCGGGCTGCCGTCGTCGTCCTCGTCGCCATCTTCGTCGTTGTCGTCACCGTCGTCGTCCTCTTCGTTGTGGTCATCGACGTCGTTTCCGCTGTCGATGTGGTCGTATCTTTCGTCACCGTCGTTATTGTCATCCTATGCGTCCCTCGCGTTGTCGTCGTGCCTTTCGTGATCGTCCCCGCCGTCGTCGTCATCATCGTCAACAGCGTACTCGTCGACGTCTTCATCGTCGTACGGTTCCCTGGTCCTCATCAGCATCCCCCTCCTTGTCGTTGTTGTCATGGTCGCAGCCGCCGCCGCCGTCGTGGTTCGTGTCGTCGCCATCGTCATCGTTTTCGTCGTCGTTGTCGTTCTCGTCGCGTTGTCCTTGTTTCGTCCTCCTCGTCGAAGATGTCGTGGGCGACGTCGTCGTCGTCGCCGTCGTCGTCGTCGTCGGCCTTGTCGTTGTCTTGGTCGCCCTCGCCGTCGCCGTCGTGGTCGTGTTCTTCGTCGTGATTGTCGCCGTCGTGAGAGGGCATTAATCAAGGATTATGGGAGGACCCGCGAGGGAATAGGACGACGTCGTTGACCGGTCGAGGCTCTCCCCTCCTTTCAGTTGGCTTGTTCAAGCGGGTTCTCCTGCTTGAAGTTTCCTTGGTGCTGCGTGTGGTCTGTCGAAGGCCTCTGAGAGCGACTCTTTTCGGTTTCAGGGCTTCGATTTGAGCCTTGTCTCTGAGCCCTCTCGGGTGTCTTTGGGACTCGTGGGCAGTCGCGAGGCTGTCTTTGGGCCTCTTGTGCGCACTTGCAGGTCTGTTGGATCATCTTGCATGCCTCTGGGACCCTCCATGAGACTTTATTAGGGGGCTCCTGGAACGTATTGGGGGCTCTTGGAACGTATGGGGGGCTTCTTGGGCGTTTTGGGATCGTCTTGGAACCATGTTCGGCCTTCTGGGCGTGCTATTGTGAGTCTCTTGGGCCGTCTTGGACGTTCTGAAGACGGAAGATGCGAATTCGTCTTAATCATATGCAATCGTATGGGAGGTTGGCCCCCTTGGCAGCCCTCGTCTGCTGCCCTCCGTGGCGCCGCATCCACTATCGGTTGCTCTCTTGCAGCCCAGCCCCAGCAGCTCAGCTCGGAGGCTCGAGGCATTTTGCTGCCGCGAGCGACTCGCTGACCTGGCAGCACGGTCCTGGCCTCCCTGCACCACGCAGCCGCTGTGCGCTGGTACACCTGGCAGCACGGCCCTCTGACGAACACTGGGGTGCCGTCTTCACTCGCTCGCCTGTCCTCCCTGCGCTCTGTTGACTTGTTCTGCGCGTCCGGCGCCTGCAGCCTTTGCCTCAGCCCCTGGGTGTGGGTGCGACGCTGCTCCACGCCCACTGTCAGGACGCCTCAGCCACGGCCGGCCGCAGCAGCAGCTGCTGCCGAAGACCTTCGTGCCGTGAGAGCCCTCTCTCCCGCATCCTCCTGTTCCGCGGCCGCTCTCTGCCACGTCTCGTGCTCCTGCTGCGGGACAGTGGGCGTGCTCTGCCCCAGCTGCTGGAGCGCTCGAGCAGATTGCCTCTGCCGCGCCGCGACGGGAGAACGGTATCAGATGGCCTTTTCTGGGGCTTTCTTGGAACCCTCTGGGGGCGTCTTGTGGGCAGATTGGCCCGTCTTGGAACATCTGGTGCTGTCTGCAGGCCGTTTTGGGCCGTCTTGGGGCTGTCTTGGACCGTCTGGTAGCCCTGTCAGAGACGTCTTGGGTCGATTTGGGGGCTCTGGGGGCCGTCCGTCTAAGGCCCGAAGACGGTCCATGCTTTCCGAGGTAAGCCCGCCCGGGGGAAATTGCCTGATATAGTCTATGTGTTTGATGAAGGATGTTGACAATCCAGCGCGATGCCGATCGCAAACCAGAGGTGCACCCGCCTCCAAAACATATTTCAGGGTCGGCAGCGATAGGGGGATAGTGTTAGGGGGGAACGCATGGACCCCCGATGGCCCACTGTTCGCCGACTGGCGCATGACAGCCCCGCCCCGCCCAGAGACACTCGGAGTCGCCGTCGGGGGCCTATCGCCGATCTATCGGCGACGTATCGCCGAGTCCGGGTCGAGGTTTCCCCCTTTGAGCCGGTCCCCCCTATCGTTGCTTCCGAATCTTCTGCCTGCCCGCACTGATGTCCCTCGGGCATGCAGCCGCCGGCCTGGGCGGGACGCCATTGAGGCCCGACTCCTCTCGAGGCCCTGGTCGGAGCGCGCTCGAGGTCGGGCGCGGGGGCCTGCTTTGAGGGAGGCAACGAAGATTGTCGGGCACTGACAGAACGCCTCCCCAGACCAGTCGACTAAGGAAGTCTGCGCGCGTTCACTCGACGTTGGCAGTCGAGTGTGTTGGTGCAGTCCGCAGTTGGCTTCGCTTGTCGACGTGCGTTTTGCCTGGTGCATTCGGTTGTTTTTG